TAGAGGACGGCAATTACACATTCTTGTACTTTTAAAACCGGTCTTTCGGTCTTTTCCGCTCGAAGGGAGAAAAGAAGATGGTGGAGAGGAAAGTGGAGTATGTGCTACAGCAAGTACTGTACTATGCTTACTACTCCAAGCAGTTGCACTATAGAAGAAGGAGTACATGTACCGGTATGCATAAGTGCAATTCCTGCATCGACAGTGCATCATGGACAATGACGGTGGACAGGTTCACCCACGAAGAGGCATTATTTCTCTGAAATGGACTTCCTCGCGGTACAAGCCAAGGCAAACAAGTGTTGACCACGCTGCACGCTGCTACCTTCATCGCCGCATGCGTCCATACCATTCTGGTCATACCGTACTATAATAGTCCTTGTCAAAACCTCTCCCCACCCTCCGTTTGGACGCTGCTGCTTGCTAGATATTCAGCAGTCGTTGTCATCTAATGAGCCATGAGTTGTCATCCATCGTCAACACGAAAGAGGACCCGTTTGCTACCGAGCCAAGCATTGCAGCTGCAGAAGAATTTATCTGTTTTTTGTGTCCTTCATCAACCGCCAACCACTTCAACAAAAGGAGCACCCTCTTGGATCCAGTTTGCTTGCACAAATTATCTATTATCTACCCAATTCAGAAACAAGACCCCTCTGGGACCACGGCAAGCTGCTAAGCTGCTGCCATTGGCATACCGCACCTTGAAAGAGCCAAAGTCTTCCTCGCTGATCCAGGTATCCAGAGATGACGCTGCGTCTATACCGGTACCGTTTCTGTCCGAGAATTCGATGAGTTAATCAAACCAATCCACAAGATAAGAGTGCTTCCACAAAGTTTTCGCCGAAGGTGGCCAGAGGCACACAGAGTGGCATCGAGCCGAGAGCTGTCGAGTCAGTCCCAGCACCAGCAGGAGGCCCATCACCCTCAGAAGCAAAATGCCGCCACTGCGTCCAAAGAATGGTTTCAGGATTTTGTGCAATGGTATGAAAAAACACAAAAAATCCAGCCTACCAACAACAACGTTCGGGATCGCGCGTTTGATTGGCGTTGCCACCACCACAGCTTCCGGCAGGGAGTGGCAGAACAAACAAGATAAGAACCCAGCCAGCCACCCTGGTGCGTATTGCGTCGGTGGGTCAGGAGCTTGGAATAGGGAAGAAGAGACAGGCGTCCACGTGCCCAGCCGCCGACACCTCCATCGTTTCCTTCTTTCGTACCGAAAGAGGAAGGGGACAATCATCACGCCCTGGTCAAATTTCGACTGTCCATCCAGTTGTTGTGTCGGCAGAGCCATTGCACAGTCGAATGAGAACAATCTTCGGGAAGAAGAAGAGTCAAATGACGATGATACCTGCGGGACGAGGCTGGGTTGGATGATCATCCGACTGACATTTGCCACTGGCATGACTTTTGTCTCGGGGATTTTGGCCGTTGAGTGCAATCATCCCAAAACGCACAGCTGAAAGTGGCAGCATGGCAAGTAAGGATGAACCCACATATCTTCTCAATCCACCATTCAATGTTGCATTGCTGGAAGGACAAGTGATTGCTGTCAAAGCAGACGCCAACAGTCGCTACGACAGGGTCAACCTGTGGATGTTGAATGATCTATCTATACTTGGACACTTCTATGCTGAATGGCGACAGCTACAGCGGTTTAAAATTGTGTCGAGGCACTTTGTTCTGGATGAACAAATTGGCTTCACAATGATAACTGGCAAAGCTATTGCGTGCTTTGAGTTTAACTGGTTTTCAGCTCATCCCAGGAATGAAGCTGACGAGCTCCCTGAATGCAATCATGAAGGACACGTCAAGTTTTCAACCTGACAAAAACAATCAGAATGGACAGGTCCCCTCCCAATCAACCTTCCCAACCCTTCAGGTTTTGGATCTTTCCCACAACCACTTTTCCTCCAGGAATGGGCAAGTACATTTTGGCAGTTTTTGTTGTGTCCAACAATAGCTGGGTTTCCTTTCGTGCAGCTTGGAGTGGTTGATGCCCTTCTGTGCGTGCATTGGAAAACTGGTCAACAACCAGTTTGAGGCTAGTTTGAGGAACCCATACTTTGATTTTCCCCTTCTGAATCAGCTTCTGAATCTCACAGGCAACAAGGTGGGGGGCATAATATACAGTGAGCTCGGAAAGTTTCAAAGTCTACCTTGGTTACAAATAGCTTGGGGGTTCCTTACCCTATCTCGGTAGAGCTAGGACAACTGAAGGCATTAAAGGAGCTGGACCTCTGCCTGGGGTAACATGCTTTTGACTGGAAGCATCCCAGAGAACATTTTCATCGCAAAAATGAAAGTCCAAGCTAATTGCAGCATTGCAGCGAGCTAATGTACAATGCTCTAACTCAGGTCAAGCTTACCCTGGGAAGAGCCCCAGAGCCGTTGATTGTTCCATTCGATGTACTGTACGGGTAGAGGGAGCATATTTAAATATTGATCAAACCTGTTCGAATCATTCGATTCGTCCATAAATCTCTGAGTGATGAGTCCTCAGTCGAGTCCTGGATAACCGGTTTCAAAAATTCATTACTAGCTAGTATTTTAAATAGAGGCTCAAAAAAGTTCATGCCACCGTGACTTAGTCACCTGGCGGCAGCCATGACATTAAATCTCTTCAAGCACCCCACTCCCAACTGCAACGGATCGTTAATCCTCATTACTGCCTTGCTTTTGTTGCGTCAAGGCCTCCTTATCTCTTTCAATCAAATGTGTTCACGTGTTCACATCTCTCGAAAATTGTGCTGCGCATCTTTGCTTTGCCCTCGCACTTCAGTGCTGTATCCTTTATCGCGGGATGCTGCATGATTGCCACAGTCGGCGAGAGCGAGCAGTAAAAGCACAAGAAGACAGCAATCAATCTCCTACTCAACTCCCCTTGGAGCAACCGGGCCAAGATTGAACGACACTCTTTGTAACTTACGGAAACTATTGTGAATTGCTGTCGCTGTGCTGACGCCGCTAATGCATTGTGTTCTTGTGTTGTAAGAGTTTGCTGGGGATGAGAATATTCTTCCAGCTGCTTCTGCTGGAGTTTCAGTGCAGCAGGGTTAGAAAGAGGGAGGGTGATCACAGTGCCGAGCTTGCGCTGTTCTAGCTGCACTGACGCCGCTAATGCATTGTGTTCCTGTGTTGTAAGAGCTGGTTGGGGATGGGACTTTTCTTCCTGCTGCTTGTGCTGGGGTTTCTTCAGTGCAGCAGGTTTCAGAGGGGGTACAAACAAAGATGCAGCATTTCGGAGTTTGACTTCTTGAAGAAGTGCATCTTCGGCAGATTGTAGAGTCACAGGTACTTCTGGACTTTGATTGTTGTCAGCAGCAGTGGCATCCTCCTGTCCTTTGACGACAATGTTCTCCTCCTGTACCTTTTCTGCGGCTGCACGAACATCGACGGCCTCATTTGGCTTGGAGAGGGTATTGCTAGAATCTTCGCTCGCAGCTTCGCTTTGGACTTTTTCTCCCTCTTTGTCCTTGGCCTCTGTATAATCTAAAATTTGCTCGATTACTCGTCGATCCATCTTTATGTCTGCCTCCTTCCTGCTTGGTCAAGGGCTGAGTGTTTCTCTCAAGCTGCAAAGATGTACAATACAGGCAAAGGAAATTGGGCACGGGTCTCGCTGTTTCCCACTGTGGAGCTGGCGAGGGTCGAAAGGTTGGAGAAACCCAGAATCCAAAAGGGGTACAGCGCACTCGAGTACGCGACCAGGAACGCTGTGGAAATCCAGTCGCCCTTAGTTTTTACAGTTAAAAACGATTCGACTTTAAGTCGTGCTCTCATCCATGGATTTAGGAGAGTAGCTACTCTCCTAAGTCTTCGTCCAGGAGAGTACGTACTCTCACCTTTGTACTCTCAGTCGTGGTTACTCTCCTAAGTCTTCCATCTACTCTGCTAATTCCTTGCATGCTCTCCTAAATCTTCTCACAACCAAACGCACAACAACAACAACAACAACAACACCACAACAACAACAACCAACAGGTCGATCGCTACCGCTACCAACACAACATGACCATTATCGTTGCCTGTAGGCTATTATCTTCCTTCTACCACCTTTATCTACCTTTTACCTTTGCCCTTACCACCCCCTTTCATCTTGCTCTTGCCCAAATGCTCCAACGAGTAGTGGAATTTCCTCGTTTTAAGCTCTTGATAAATATGGTCGCGAAACACTTTGAGAGGATAGTCATCGTATTCGTCTCTGTAACACCACAGCTCTGAGGGGAGGAATTTGTCATGTAGTCCATCGTCGATATCCTTCTTTAGTTGCTTCTGGGCGTCTGACCCATCCCATTCTGGATACCCATAGGCGCTGTGTGTGTGCATGACGTGATTCTCTTTGTAGGTTTCGAATGCAGCTAGATCTTTGTCTGCTCTTGCTTTGTCTCTTTTGGCAATCCTTCGAAGACTTGAAAGACGGCTGGAGAAATTCTTATATCCATACTTCGCGTACTCTGGTCGGCTTTCGAAGATTTGCCTGGTTGGCATGGATGCATCCACCTCGGCGGGAACCACACCATCTAAAATATCTTTCAGCAACAACCTTCTAGCGTCACTGTGTTCCCAATCATCGCCAGGGTCTTCTGTTGCCTTATTCAATTCGTCATCCTGAACCTCAACAGGACCAACCTCCTCTTCTCCGCGTCCGCGCCCACGACCGCGGCCCCTTCCTCGGCCTCGGCCTCGACCACCACGACCCCGAGCCATATCCTTTTGTATGGTCTTCCAGAGTTGTATCTATTTAAAATCGGATGCTCAAGAAAAGAACTGCCTGATGCATGCGTCATCCGGGGCCACGTCGCCCCCACACACCACAACCACCCCAAAGATTTCGGATGACTGACCCAAAGATAAGGTGGCCACAATGGCCAAGGGAAAAGCAGCAGCATCTCCATCAGCCGGACGCTACAAGACAAGGAGCAGTGCCTCTTCCGTAGGAACGGGGGGTAGCAGTGTTAGCAGTGGCAGCACTAAAGGTAGTCGGCCAGGACTTGCTCTGTTTGTGAAGAAAACTCTTGCAAGACGAATCCAAAGACAGTTTGGTGGTGTACATAAGATCGAAGGACACAAAGCCGTTCAAAGGGACCTTCTCGATAAGGACACAGATCTCTTTGGTGAGGTTGGAGATCCCATTCGTCGTCAGATTTACAACAAAGTTAATAAGTGGAAGAAATTTACTCCTGATCAGTGGAGATCTCGTGTCTTGCTCAAGTACAGCATTCCAGAGGATCCCCCAAGCTCATCCGACGATTCAAGCGACAGCTCCATCAGCTCCAAAGACAGCCCAAAAGGAAAGACAAAGAAATCGGTCCCAGCCGAGATCACAACTGTCAAGTCGCCACCTGCTTCAAAGACACGAAGATCATCATCGAAAGCGCAGACACCAAAATCTGCTTTGAGGCGTCAAATTGACACAAAGAAACCTTCCCCGATTCCGGAAGAGCCATCTCCACGAAAAGAGGAGGAAGTTGACGCAACGATGGATCAGTATCGTAAGTTTGAATGCATTGCATTGGTAATCGTTTGGCCGTCTCACTCACTTATCTTTTCTTTTGGCAGATCCTGTGAAAGTGGACCTTACAAAGCCCGAGAACAACCGAGAGTTTCTTGTTTACAACCTCGGGCAGACAGTCGAAGGGGTGGACGTGGCAAAGGGTTATCTTTACCACTCTCAGCTTATCCTCTACAAAATGGATATCCGATACGTTGTCGACAATACGGAAAAGGATTACTACACGTGTCGTGTTTCTGGAACGAATGAGCTCCTCGTCAGCGCTCCCGCTTGGGATTACAACCAGCTTCATTATCGTGACTTCTGGGATGGAGTTTCGAGAGACGACGATGACCCAGAGAAGATCGTTGATCCGATTTTGCATGGCATGGTTTCAGCCATCGATGACGCCCACGACAAGACGATCAAGGCAAAAGGAGCTCGCGATATCAAACATTTCAAGCTCCAGTTTCCTCAAGGCTGTGAACTTTCGTCGTCTGCCATCTTCGCCGAGGCAGGAGAAGATGAATGGTGTAAGCTCAAGATCATTCCTCTTGTTTGGACGCACACGTTGAGTGGGCTCTCAGGAACCGATCACTACGCTGGTTGGGTTGTGGCGAGGAAGGATCTTGAGTCGATCAAAAAAGGAAAGCCAAACTCGAAGCCGAAAGCTGAGAGTCAAGCTGCGAAGCTCCTTGCCAGCTTGGGTATCGGGGCAACAACCGGTGATGGTATGCAGACTTCTTGAGTGGGATTGTAGTAGTTTGATCTTTCTCTAGCATGATCTAACAAAGTTAAATATATTTGTTTACAACCATTCCTTTAATAATCAATAGGTCTGTCAGCAGCATTCTCCCGCTCCATCGTCGAAACCGAAACCAGCACCATCGTCGAAACCGAAACCAGCACCCAAATTTAACACGACGTCTTCTTTGGGCCGTGCTGCTGCTTCAGGCACGAAGACAAACAGTGGCAGCAAGAAATCATCGGATCTTATGGAGTTGGACGACGAGAATACAGGGCTTGAAGGTCTTGGGGCAGCTCTTGACGGAGCAGAAGCAGAGTTCAACCAGCTCGTTGGGGGTAACAAGAAGCACAGCACCAAGAAAAGGACAGTCAATGAAGCGATCGATGATGACGACGACGCTGATGCTGAACGAGTTGATCGCTTCGGCTTCGGTGGCGATGATACAGAAGATTACTAGAGTAGCAGCACAAATAAATGAATAAAAATTCAACTAGTTTACTACTACATTCCCTCGACCAGGATGTTGTAGAGAGGCTGTCCATGCTCTAGCTTGTACACGCAGATAACACAGACAGCCTCAAAACAAGCAGGAAACCTGGTGAGTGGATGCATGAAACGGGATGACAAGACTTTGAACTCCTTGGTCATCCCGTTGAACTTCTCGTGACGCTTGAGGGCACGGCGCTTGAACTTGGAGACCAAAGGATGGTCAGCGGCATTGGGAAGGCTCACATAATCAAAGATCTCCTTGTCATGGTAGCCTCCGTCCGCAATCGCCCTCTTGCCCATCTGTTTCAGCTCAGCCAAAAGCCCTCTTTCCTTGAATGTTGTCATATCCGACTCGCCAGCCCTGAAAGGGCCGTTCATCCAAACCAGCCGTGATTCTGACAAGGATATACCGAGCTCGTAGTTGATGCCAGCTTTGTTGTACTTGTGCGAATAGAACTCCGTGTTAATAGAAAATAGAGGGTGGCTTGGCTCATGGACCCAACAATGGGTCCCATCGACGGTGATTGCCCAATCATCATCATTGGTGGTCAGGTGCAATGGCCAGGAGATCTTTGGGCATTTGAGTGCCTGGATTCGTTCAACAAAATACCAGGTCCAATCACGCACAGTATCACGATGGAATCCTGTTGCTAATGCCCTTTCATCTTCAGTTGGATACTTGCGCAGAAAATGAAATGACATGCAAAAGTATTCCAGCTTCATTTTCTTGGGAGGAATCGTCCAAGGATCAGGTGCTCTCTGGAGATCTTCCCATATGTGGCACAAGACCACGGGGTTGGCCCCGTAGCGCGAGATGAACCGATCCAAATTTGTTGATTTCTTACACTTGCGATAGCTCTTTTTTGTCACACCGGCAAAAAGAAGACCTTCCTTTAACATTGCTTTCGGCATCATGATTTTGATATCGCTCACATCCTCTTCAGAGGTTTCAGAGGATCCAGATGAGCAATACTCCCACTCTTCGGCCATCTTGCTAGCCAACTAGATAGCCTCAAAGCAAAGATAATAGAGCGACAATGACTCAACTCGAAGGATTGCTCTATCGATAGTAGGTGCTTGTTAGCCGTCTACGTGGTGCCAATTAGATCAAGCACCGGCCGAGCCTTGCTCTGAGTAACGATCGGCTTACTCTCCTAATGCTTAGTCTTACTCTCTTAAATCCAAACGTTCCACGACTTGCTCTCCTAAATCTTCGAGAGGAGAGTACGTACTCTCACCTTTGGTACTCTCAGTCGCGGTTACTCTCTTAAGTCCACCCGTACTCTCCTAAACACGACTAGCCTATTTTTAGTCGCTTTTACGTTTCCACAGCGTTCCAGACAGTCAAGTCATTAATTCTTGATCCGACTTACTTCAACACTGCATAATCACACTGTGGTCACTACAAACGCTACCGCTAACGGTGACGGAAACTACCCAAGTATTGACGGTGATGAAAGTAACCAATCATCTAATACTACTGCCCTGGGCCAAGAAGAAAATTCAACCTTATCCGCCAATGGCACCGCTAGCACAGCAGAGACCCCCGTTGTGCAATTGATGCCAGGAGCTTATCCAGTGCGTGGAATTGATGCTACAGACGACGATGAAGAATTCTCAGTTCTATGGATCAGTGAAATGCAACACAATGAGGGACAGCAAAACCCAGAGACTGCCCAAGCACCTGCACTTCGAGCTGTACACTCCTCATACCTGTTGACTCCCTCCATGGAATTAGGTGAGGTCGTTGATTCCGATGAGGAGGAGGATGATCAAGAATCTCCTGAACTAAACAACTCGATGCGCCAAAGCATGAATCGAAGCAGCAGACGAGCTTCAAGCCGCCGCCTTGTCATGGAAGATTTAGAGGAGGCCTTGGAAGTAAAACCTGTTCCAGGTCCATCAGAGAATGGTGGACATGGCAGTGATTATGCAAAGGAAAGGAAGAAAGCCGTGGCTAGTTGGATCGTTTTGTTGCTCTGTTTTGGTGTGGCATTTGTGGTCACTATTGGCCTTGCCACTGGGCTCAGCAACAAGGAAGACTCCACAATGAAACCTACGGATGTAGACAACACCAGTAGCAGTAACCCAGGAAGCTCCATTACTGCAACGCCACCCCCACTGCCCAGCGAATCAAGCAACACCAGCCCAGGAAATTCCACCCAGGGTGAAATGGTTCTTTATCCTCCCTTTGGTGAAGACCTGGATGCTGATGTCCTGAGGCTAATCAGAGAAGACCCGTCAAGTCCTCAGTACAAGGCCAACGTTTGGATGATGGAGGACCCCTACAGAGAGTCTTATCCACCGTGGAAGCAGCTTCAAAGATTTTCTCTAGCACTCAGGTACATTGGCTTTGATGGAGATAACTGGTTCCGCAACGACAACTGGATGAACTATGACATAGATGAATGTCGATGGTTCAACAAGAATCCTGAGAATGCCACATACCCAGTCTGTGATGACGATGATGGCCACTTGTTGGTCCTCAATCTTACGGCCAACAACTTGAATGGCACTTCCCCACAAGGAATTCATGTCCCCAGCTTGAGAATGCTTGATTTGTCTCACAATGGCATCCATGGGCCTCAGGCCGTAGCCAATGGCGGAGGTGATATGGAGGTGTACATATTGTCCAATAACAGCATGACTGGTGCTTCGAGGACCAAAGCTGGTGCTCAATTTTCAAAATTGCGGGTTCTGAAAATGGACGGCAATAACTTCAACTTTGACCTGAAACTTCCGGGGAGCATATTCCCAGCTCTTGAAGTTCTGAACCTGACTGGAAATAGCTTTGGGCCTACAATTCACCCGCTTTTTGGACAGGTTAGAGTCAGGAGCTGTTGCACTGCTTTGCTTTGTTCGTCCTTGACTCCTCACACATACATACGTACCTTGAACTCACAGAATACAAATCTCAGGTACTTGGGTCTTGGCCACAACTTCTTTGGTGGCACTCTTCCAACAGAGTTAGGACTTCTTACGGGTAAGTCCCTTTGTTCCAACTGCCATGATCAATCAATCAATTCTCACCCATTTGGCTTTACCTCTCAGCTTTGGAAGAACTTGATCTTTCTGGGAATGTTGGTCTTACTGGGTTGGTTCCGGAAAGCTTTGGTTCCTTGGTCAACCTGACAAAGGTTTGACATTTCCAGGACCATGTTGTCAGGAGATGTCCCCGTGGATTTCTGCAGGGATGGCCTGGAAGTGCTGGCCAATTGCAGCATGGTACATCGTACAATGTTGTTGAGGCATCCCTCTTCTGCATGTTGAACATTTGTGGAAGTGGTCTAGATGTTCACCAGTTCGGTTTAGATACCGAATCCGGTAGCAGGGATAGAGTAATAATAGCCTACAGGAAGTTGTCACGCTCTCCCTTGGAGACAAGAATCTTTGAGTTATAGTCTAATCCACCAGACCACAACTAGGATTGGGCCTTTTTTACAGTTTGAAGATCTCCTTTTAGCGAGCTCGTTTCGTTTCGTTTCGTTTCGTTTCGTATTGTCTCATTTCGTTTCGTCTACTAGCTAGTCTAGGTGCTCACAATAGTCCCAATGGCAGCGTCAACCTTTTTGAGAGTCTCCGGATCCATCTTTTCGACCCAATCAGATGGCAGAGAGTCCGATTTCTCGTTGGCAGCAAGAGCCGCAAACACGGCACCAATAAAGACGGATCGACTGCACGTATCTCCCGAAGCAAGAATATTCTCTCGAAGCGCCGAAGCAAATAGTGTCGTGCTGGCAGCAGCATTGGACGCCGATTTGTAAAACAAGGCAATGGGTCCAATAAAGGATCCTGGCAAGGCACAACTGCGACCTGCCAAATCGTAAAAATTGGAATCCTCATTGCCCTTCATTTTTTGATGGGAGACCTCCAACAAGATTTCGTCCAGTGTTGATTTTTCCTTACCCAGTGTCTTGGCATTTTGAAAGGCTTCCATCAAAGCTTCCTGGGCGTCATTGGGGACGTTTGCGTTTGCCAAATCGTCCTTGATATTTTGCTGACACGTTTCCAAAGCTTCTTCCAACGGAGCACCCAAAATGACAGCTTCCAAGATGCGAGCGGCGGCAATGCCAAAGGCAACGGCTTTTTGATTGTTTTGGTGGACGCGAACGGCTTGGCTGAGGCGGTCCACAAGATCCGGCTTTCCGTGGTATCGCGCCACCACTGGGACCACCTTCATGTAAATGTGGGCTTGGTCGTCGTCGGCGCCACACTCGGGAAATTTCTTGTCGGCTTTTATATTGTCGATAAAGGTGGTCAATGCGTGATCCGGTCTTCCTCCAAACGTAGTGGCCCATTGGAACATTTCCTGGCTCATCGCGTCGCCTGTAAGGTCCATTGTAGAAGCAACATGCTCCGTCACAAAGAGCAACTGCTCCCCATACGGACTCAACATGCCGTTCTGGTAATGACCAGGGAAATCGGTAGCCGAATAATACTTGGGAGAAGGAGGGTCGCGAAACTCGGGAGTCTCCACGCTGGTAACCGTCTTTAGCATCTCGGCAGGATCGTAGATCCAATGCGTCCCCATGGACGCCGCGTCGGCTACAAAGGCGCCGCGAAGTGCCGCCGTTACGCGGTTTTGGATTAGTAGAGAAGTCATGGTGGTGGAGTTACGATAGTTGATTGATTGTGGATGGAATGTTATTGTGTTGGTTTGGGTTCTCTAGACCACTAGTACCTGACAAATGAGGAGACAAGAGACAAGGGATCTTCTTAGAAAGATTTGCTTCCTGTGCTTCCTTCTCGTGCAATCTTTATTCGCTCCGAGCTTGCATGGGCTTCTTTCAGAGGACGGGAAACTGCACGTCTCGAATGTGTGAATCTTGTTATGCCAAAGATCCAGCGGCCCACCACAGACCATGTCAAAAGATCCAATCTTATTTTTAAAATTTCAAATTGAACTCAAAAGGACATCCCCAGCGATCGCCGGCGATATCGCCAATGTCGCCGGCGATCGCCAAGATGCCTTGTGGGACTCAATTTGAAATCAAAATTCAGTTTGAAATTGAGTCCCACAAGAGTGTTGCCAGTGTTGCCGGCAACACTGGCAACGTTGCCGGCAACACTTGGCAACACTTGGCAACACTCTTGAGGTGCACAATTTGAAATCAAATTCTGATAATTTTAAAAATCACTAAAAGCATCTCAGTCTTGGCAGGACTCACTGTGTGATGGATACCGGTACCTTTTCCTTAACCATGAAATAGGTTCGCAGGCGACCAAAAGAGCTACCGGTACCTTCTTTGGGCTTTGGGGTAACGCTGAGAGCGGGGCACTTCTCTTTCTTTGCAACTCTTCTCTTTTCCCTTGGACTGCACAAGGCCTCGACTTTCTGAAAAGTAAACTTGTTGAGTTATCGGCAGTTCATAAAGCATTAACATGCATCACTCCTGCAATTGTCGATGACTGACTTGGTGACCCCGGATGGTTGAACTGCTTTCCTTCATGCCGGCACACTGATCTTCACCTCTCCAGCAGACCTGCGTAATGTTCCTCCTTCCTCGCTCCATTATTATGCCACCAAACACCAAACAAACGATGGAGCGGCAACATCAGGACGAGCAACAGCAAGAGTCGGAGGAGATGGATGGGAAGGAAAGCAACAATGGAGACTTATCGATGCCCTGCGACCAGCCACTGCTGTCCGGCATGGATACAGAGAATGGCACAGCTGCCGTCGGCACCGAGATTACCACAACATTGGTGAACGAGAAAGACATGGTACTAAAGGGTGGAGTGACTCAGCATCTAGAGCACTTGTGGCAGCAACAGCAGCACCTTCGCCAACAGGCACATGGTCAAGACTGGCAACAGAAATCAGAGACGGATGCAGGAAAAGCCACAACTGAAGAATCAAAAGACAACGAGACCAAGTTAAAGAGTGGAGTGACCCAACATCTGGAGGATCTATGGCAACAGCAACAGCAACAGCAACAGCAGCAGCAGCAGCAGCGAGAGCAAGGTACAGAAGCTGCCACCCCCGCCGACGCTCAACACCTGGAGTATGCGGGGCAGAAACACCAACAGCAACGCGAGCAAGCAGGAGACCAAGTACAGGACATCTACAGCACAGCCCAAGGTCAAGCGCCACCGAATCCACCAGAATTAGTCTTTCAGACTGACGCTTCTGCCGTTCCTTCTACCGCCAATTTTCCGGACAACCCGCCCACCGAAAGCAGCCCCATGCCAAGCGGTCTCCGCGAGTCAGAAGATGCCCTCCTGCAACTGTGCAAACTGCAAGAGGTACAACTTTGTACCGGAATATCAACGGGAGACATCCGGCCACAAGGCGTTACCACTGCTAAGATTGACTCGGCTACCGGGGCAAGGAGTATGCCTACTCAACCTTTGCCGGAAACAACAACCGCAAGCACCTCGAATGCGGGAGTAGTCGAAGAACCAAGGCCGGGTGCTTATCCTGTGAGAGGCATTGGAGCATCCGAGAACGACGATTCGGTGCTAATGACGTATGTGTCTGCGGCGATGGAGATGGAACAAGAGCCCCGTATCTTGTCCGCCGAAGAAGAGTTCCGTTTGTCCGCCGAATTGGTGATCGAAGACGATGATGACGATGACGAAGAGTATCATATTGGTAGTTTTGCTCGAGATCCGTCGAATCGAAGTCTTCGTTCTTCCCGTCGTCATAGCTCCACTCACAGACAACGTTCGACGCGGAGTTTGCAAGACCTCGAAGAAGCATTGGATGTCCATCCCCTGTCAGATTCCAAAGTGCCCAGGGAAGTTTCCGAGATGGAAACGAATGCAAAGTCAAGGATGCTGGGATGGATTGTCATGTTGGTGGTTTTCATTGTAGCCCTGGCGTTGACTGTGGGATTAGCAGTTGGCCTGGCCGGTCGCACCAATGTAGAGGAGACATTCACACCTCCTCCTACAAGCGAATACACAGGCAGCCCAAGCACCACTCCCAAGGATGGTTTCATTGTGTATCCTCCCTTTGACGAGCAAGATGTGGAAGTAGGGGTGCTCCGAGCAATCAGAGAAGATCACGATAGTCCTCATTACAAGGCTAACCGTTGGATGCTAAATGACCCTTACCTGGATACATATCTACACTGGCGAAAGTTACAAAGATTTGCATTGGCTATCCGGTATTATGCCTTTGGTGGGGACAACTGGTTCCGAAATGATCACTGGCTCAGCTATGATATTGATGAGTGTGAATGGTTCTCCAAGCATCCAGAGGATGCTGAGTACCCCGTCTGCGATGACAATGGACATTACCTGGTGATCAACTTGACCAAAAACAATCTTCATGGCATTGGAACCCGAGGCTTCTGGATTAAGACTGTTCGTGTGTTGGATATATCCCACAACCGACTGTATGGGCCACATCCCCCCACGCAGGGAGGTGGAGATATGGAAGTTTACGTTCTATCCAACAATAGCATTTCTGGCATGCTGACTTCAGAGGCAGGATTTGGCGCTCTCATGCTGCGGGTTGTCAAGTTTGACAGCAATTTGTTTGAAGGAAACTTCCAATTTCCCAGCTATATTGCTCCTCGTTTGGAGGTTCTCAACGCCACTGGCAACCGGTTTGGCCCCATCCTTAGTCCCACACTGGGAGGCGTAGTGACTCTGCAGTACTTGGGTATGGGGCACAATGCATTTGGATCTACTATTCCAACAGAGCTTGGTCTTCTTACAGGTATTACGTTGCAGGAAGAGTTCTTTGCTTCAAGTAGCAAGTTTTGTCTCACACAGTTTCCTCTTCGTTCATTACCAAAGGTTTGGAAGAGCTGGATCTGTCCGGCAATCCTGTGAAGGGAACCATTCCAGAAAGTCTACAATCCATGGTTAAGTTGGTGCAATTTGATGTATCTGAGACACGGATATCAGGCGAAGTCCCGGCGAGTTTTTGCCTTGGCGACACAGTTGTAGTAGCCAACTGTAGCAACCTAGACTGTTGCTGAGTTGTCGGAAACACTGCCATTGCTGAATAACGCACACAGTGGAAACTTCCCCTTCTCTAATTTTGACGAACCAGCCCACCAGAACCAATACACAATGTCCACTCACTGCTTGCAACCGGTACCGTATCCCTACCGTATGCAACCAAAGCATGGTACCAGTACTCAGTTAACGCAACATGGATCGGCACGTAATCGAGCAAATTCTATATGAGGAGGGGGGCGAGCTAGCTGAAAGGATCCGTGGGGAAGTGACAATGGCCCATTGCAGTTAAGAAGCGGATGCTGTCGCTGAGAAATCGGAGCCGAAGGTGACAGAGAATGAATCCAGACCGCCAAGTGCATGTAAGCGACACCAGCAAGTGGGTCAGGAGCCGCTGTCAGTGGTGGAGGTGATATGGAGGTTTTCATTATGCTGTCGTGCAACATCCATGTGGACATTTGCAGGGCTGGACTGGAAGTGCTAGTCAATTGTAGCATGGTGATGACAATGGCCTCAAGGGTGTCTTTAAAAGGAACCAGGAATCGTTGCTGTTTCTGCACCATCCCTCTGCGGAGAAATGTGATGATTTCATTCTAGTGGGTTTCCATTACTCTACATTACATGGCCTTAGTACCTCATAACATTTGCCACAATAGTCTTGTTTCATTTCTACCGTATAAGCCCTTCAGGGCAGACACCGGAACTGGGACTGCAGCACAATGAGCAACATGCACATTCAACGTTTGGATTGCCTCCTTGCGGAGTTAGGCAATCTGCCACCAAGGTTGCTGTGGGTATCTGGAACGTCGGGTAAGTACAAATTTCTGACGGGACGGCCCCCGTTAAACTCGGATTCCCGTTCAGTTTCAAAGTATCCAGCTTTTTCAAATTGGCAATCTCCTTGGGAATACTGCCGTCAAATTCATTGTTGGACAGGTCCAATGCGCGAAGATTGGTCAGCAACCCCACCTGGCTGCTGATTGTCCCGGAATATTGACAGTCGTTGAGGAACAACAAAGCAAGGGACTTGTCACCGGTGAAGAGCTCTTCCGGGAGACTTCCTTCGAGTTTTGTGTTGCCGAGGTTCAGTGATTGGATCGACTGCAACAGTCCAATCTCGGAAGGGAGGAATCCCGAGAGCAACGTGTCGCTCAGATCCAGATGACCCAGTCTGACGAGGTTACGAATTTTCGATGGAATCGTTCCAGTGATCTAAACGTAAAATGGAATTCAAGAAGTCGATGAGTTTTTGTGTTCGGGATACGACGTCGCGGTCATGGCTGGACTCGACTCGACTAGCCGTCTCATATTTTACTCACCTTGTTTCCCGACAGGTGCAACTCGTTCAACTGGGAGAGTCGAAACAGCTCTATGGGAAGCGTTCCAGTGAACTGATTCGATCGTAGATCCAATGACGAAGCAGCGGCGAGAAGACCCACTTCAGTGGGAATCACTCCCGTAAAGGCATTCGCCCCCAAGTTGACATGCGCCAAGTTGTGGAGATTGGCAAAGAGTGCACTCGGCAACGTCCCGACGAGATTATTTTCTTGTAGCTGCAGCGTGTGCAAGGAAACCGGCCCCGTGGTGAGTTCGACGGGTAAGGACCCTGATAATTCATTGTGCCACAACGACAGCACTTTGAGTTCACTGAGCAGCGCCAGTTCGGAGGGGATGCGACCATTGATTTGGTTGGCGCCTGCAACGAAATTTGAAAAATATATATGAGTGATACCGTACAGGGGGAATAATTAAATCCGCCAATGGTCGATCAAGGACGCACGAACGCCAACTACTAACTACCGACACAACACGCGAAACTTACTCAATCGAATTTCTTCCACTTGCAACACACCGGCACATCGTATTCCGGCCCATTGACATTCGTGATATCCGGCCAACCATCGGATTCCAAATTGTTCGGCATGTTCGAGCCCTCGCGCATAGTAGCAGTAATCTCCCTGATCGGCATCGGCGGCATTGCATGCCAACCATTCCGTATGCCGTGATGTGGAAAAATAGAACACGGCGAGAATAAATCGTTGCAAGAGCGAGACATGATCGTGTGGCAATTGCAAGGGATCCTCGTGCACGATCCAGTCGAGTGCTTGTTGTCGTGGATATTCATCATCTTGCTCAAAATACGAAGTTCCAAAGGTTGCCACGAGTTGAGTTTGAACAGCGCGAAATCGCTCCGTCGGGGGATTCGCACTTGTGGTGGATGCCAACGTGTCGCTGCTGCCACAATGACCACTGCCGCACACGGCGCCGAGTAAAATCACGATTCCCAAAACCGTCAAAATCGACAACACTGTCGCGGTGAGAATTGTCTTTTTGGAGTACGATTTGCCACAGACGTTGGGATCGTCCTTTTTCACGTCGTCGTGTTGGGGTGCCACCGTGACGACGGCCACTTCAGCGACGTGTTCGTTGTCTTGGGACGTAGTAATGATGACACCATGATTATCATCACTTGGTTCGCTGCTATGACCGGTATTTTCTTCGTCGTCTTCGTCACTGCCGCTGTTGGTTGTTGGGTCGGTGCCAGTTTGCAAATTTTTCGAATGGTTGCTGTTCATGCTGGAATCTTGTTGGGAAGGATTCTTATTGCTCACAACAATACCCTCTTCTTGCTGCTGCAGTGAAGCTGCCATTTTGTAATCTTCCTCTTCTTGCTGTTTGCTATGCAACGAGGCAGCCATTTTGAAATCATCGTCTTCTTGACTTGATACTTCAGAAGCATCCAAGGACGATTTTTTGGACTGTAACAAAAAGTGCGGTTTCCCACCAGCCGCGGCTTTGAGAATCTCGGCTTCGGTACGCCGCAGATAATCGTCTCCTTGGGAATCATCGAGCGACGATGCCGGATTTGTAGCCGATGCGTCTTGGAGGGGGGGTGGCAAATGTGGTGGTACACTCATGGCGGGTGACGCTGGGGTGGATCGTTTGGGAGAATTCTGAGCGGCCTTGAGAATGGCCAATTCGGTGCGTCTCATGTAGTCAGCGTCTTGTGGCGGTTGAGGGACACGACGGTTCGGTAAGACAGCCACTTCGGGAGCACGGTCTTCGGCGCCCGGTTTTTGGACGGCAGAAGGCAAGGCATCGGGGATTTCGACAATGCTGGCCAGAGAGGGATACATCAGGGTAGTATTAGAAGTTGGAGGAGGAGGAGATTTGACGGAAGGAGAAGGCTTGACGGAAGGGGGAGGAGACAATGGCGATCGTGCTAATGGAGGCGGCATGGCGTGATGATGATCAGGAACGTCTGGTAAGGAGTCGATAGAGGGATACATCATCCCACTCTCGGGATAGAGCTCGGCAGGAAATCCCGTTACGGACGACACGCAGGTATCTTCGTCATCGCGGCGTCGAGAAAACTCCAAGTCTTCAAAGGGACGTATCAGTCGAGGATCTTGGTGGTAGCTGGTAGGAAGGAATTCCATTGTCTCTTCTTTCTGTCTTGATCAGAACGGTATATAATAATGCTGCCCTACTAAAAAAGCGAGCAGATAATGGATGGATTAAAATTCCTCTGATGTTGGGTTTGGAGGAAGCCAGAGCAAAATGCGATGGTAATCTAGATAGATGCAAGATGATTACTGGGGCTGTCGGACATGTGATGCGATGGTTGATGCAAAAACAGGAACAAAAGATCCGCTATTGCGGTTTGCGCCTTTTGTCCTGCTGCCGGTCGTAGCTCTGTCGTTTGGTTCGCCGAGCTGGTCCAGCTGTCCTGCTTCTCCTGAGCTTTGTCCTGTCAAACTCGGGGTGAAGTACTGCCGTTTTTACCAGACAGAAGAGGTTCCTCTCATTCTTTTTTATGTATCCAGTACACGTGGCTAATCAATTAAGAAAGCCCTCCATTGCCGTCCGATTCAAGTGAAGCTACTTTTAAACCTTATCAATTGATGGAACATCTCCGGAAAATAGGATTTAGCAATCAGACTGGTATTAACCAAGAATGTTAAACCTTGTGGTTCAGATGCTCAATTAATTAGTGCCCTCAATTGCTCAATTGCCTCAAGGATGGGTACCAGGTAGTGGGTACAAGTAATGGGTACATGGGTACTGTAGGGGTACACTCCTCACTTACACTTAAGATAAGTGGGTTTAAGATACCGAGTACTCAACTTTTTAGAAATTTATAATGTTAAGATAACCTACTAGACACTCAGATTTCCCAAACCATCAGATAAGCTATGAGTACCAATGTCTCAAATCCTAAGCTAATACTACTACTATGTGGGGAGTGAGGTCAGCTAGTACCCACTACCTTTCACACCAGCATCTGCACCTAAGTCCGGTGCCGCCTCTACCACAATATGTTTGGTTTCATCAAATTTGGCTTTGAACCTTTGCCTTCCTGGGGCTTCGTTGGTCGCTCCGCACTGTCTGAGGGCATGGTTAGTATAAGGGTATGTGACAATAGCTGCTAGTGGCTATAAGATATGAAAGATACTGAGATTGGGCTGCTTGTAAGATAATGACTCAATGTGGCTTTTGATGAATCCTGTAAGATACCGGTACTCCAGTACTGGACTTAGAATATAGTTATCTTATCTGTGAGTTAGGAGTGTAGGGTACATGGTTCATGGTACCTGGTACCGTACATCGATGCATAGGTGTACATAGGTGCAGCTCAGGTGCACACGTACGAATTTATGAGTTTTGCGATGAGTTCGGTCAAGCAAGCTGTCTCGAGTCTCGAGGCAGCACCACACCACCCTGGCTGGTTGGTTATCTTGCCTCTGGTTTTGACAGGGTTGGGTAACATTCCATGCCCAAACAGAGTTGCCTTGCCGCCACCTAGGACAGGCTACTACTGATAGGTGATTATGCCACGCTAGACGAGCGGGTTCTTGGAGCTACTACACTACGCTGACCAACCTATCCATCTCAACCTTTGCTTGGACCGATTAGAAGGGATTACCCGTGGTGCGGCTTTCACAAGGAGCGCATCATCTTGCTATCTACTCCGGTAGCCAGTTCTTCTCTGCAGCTGGCGACTATGCATAATATGCATACTCCAATACAGCCATGTACTTGCAAACCCCTTTTCATTACGTACCGTAGTCTACATCGTTGGTGTGGCTTCCACAAATACTGGAAACCCCGTTCACGCCTCTCGTTCAAAGAAAACCTCAGTGAAATCGTTCCGTCATGGCTGAAATTTTGGGTAGGGAGTGTCAATTGAATCTCACCGCTGAATTGTTACAGTGATTCTGTCCCTCATACCTAGCTAGCTGGTAGCACAGTCTTCCCGGTGGTTGCTCAGAGTGCTGTACAGTCGTACTAGCTAGATCTAATGCTCTCTGAGTTCTCGGTAGCTACACGTGCACCGGTACGGTAACACCATTACCCACCGAAGCCAGTTTTGCCTCGCTGCTTCACCCTTCTCAGACACTATGAGCAAGTGAGAGTCCATGAAATCATTGCAAAGACAAGTTGAGTCGAGTTAGTCCTCTCCGCAGGAGCGACCGATGAGTGTGTATGCAGAGATAGGGCAAGTCAAAAATTCAGGTTCTTACCTTGATATTTAAACATATTCGAGTCCATAGCACACAGCCGATCGAGAGACAGTAATAAGCACTCTTCCAAGAAAAACACCTACAAACGCTGTTGGATGAGGTGACATTTATCATTGAGAGAAAGAAGAAAGAGCTTTTAATAAAAGAGTAGGGATATTATCTACGGAAGCCACGAGGGTCAGGTTTATGCATGGGCAAAGAAGAGTCTCAAAAGATGCTAACAGTACCGGTACCGTACCGGTATGGTAGCTACGCTGTACTGGTAGCCAGTTAAATTCTCAGAGTAGCTAGTTACATGTAGCTATGAAGTACCAAGAAAGAAGCTGTACTCTGCTTTGACCTCAGGTATCAAGCAAAGATGCTTTGGCTGTGAATACTAGTACTAGTACTGGTACGAGTATATTGCTTGAGCTACCGGTATCAGAGCTCGCCTTGAAGCCTTCATGCATTGCTTGATCAACGGGATAGCTTCGGATGAATCTTAAAACTAAAGTAGTGATTCGACTTACGGCACCGTTGTTCCTTCAAGGTTTTTCAGACGATAACAACACCAAGAGCATTCATACTAACAGTTTGACGACGTTGACAAACAGGCCATTGCAATGGAAGCAACAGCAAACGGAACAGCTATCGGCCCGACTGGGGTATCCGCAAAGAAACCGCCTCTCATGGCTGGTGTTGTTTGCGGAGAGTCTTTTAATGGAACGGAGGAGGCTGCGAAAGAAGTAGCAAGAAGAAGGCAGGAACAAGCACTGGCCAAGAAGAAGGAGTTCTCGTTTGTGACGGACCGCAAAGAAGCCACCGAACACCAGGCTACTAGTAGGGCATCGACGACAGGTGCGAGTCTAAACAATGGAGGGTCCATTAACACAAATAGAGTTGACGACCGGCAGCTGAAAGAGACGGCAGCAAAGAAGGGTCATTCAGCTACCCGAACCGGCGACGACGACATTCCATCGCCGCCAACTCTGTTTCCTGGTAGAACCATACGAACGTCATTTCCGGGAGCCTATGCCAATCACGGAAGCGTCGAACAATCAAGGTATACCAATGGCGGTGTCACGACACCAGAGGAAGAATCGGTCCCTTGGGATATTACGGGTAGGATCCAACCTGAGGGGGTGGAAGCAGGAGTGACACGGGATAATGAGGGGTTGGTTGTGGCCAATTTGGTGGTGGAGGACGAAAACTTACAAACAGCCTTACCTCAAGCTGCTCCAGAAACATATAGTATCGCTGTCTCCAGAGAGCACAAACGAGTCAGGCGGCTCAGAGCAGGAATCCTGTTGGGGGTCGTCTTTGCAATGGTGATGATCATGATTCTGGTGGCGATGTTTATTCCCAGCAAGCTATCTTCAGATGCAAACGCGGCTACAGGGCTAGAGAAGGAGGACGACCTAAGCGACATCCAAACTCAAATGCCAACTTCCGTGCCCAACTACATTCTCTCTCTAATCCCCACAGCGTTGACGGTTCGGAAAATCTTGCAAGAGCCAGACTCCCCCCAAGCAAGGGCATTTGCGTGGCTCTTGGAGGAAGGAAATGTTATCTTGTCGCAGATGTCGGATGCTCGAATCAAGCAGAAACTGGCATTGGCAACCCTCTACTTTGCCACAGGTGGGGAAACATGGGACAACAATGAGAAATGGCTCAATCATAGTATCCACGAGTGTGAATGGTACAACAAACCAGATGTTGCCAATACCAACGTGTTGTCCAAGGTTATGTCAGGATATCTGGCTGGTTTTGCAGAACCACTTGCTGCAGCCCAGCCCTGTGACTCGTATGGGTTTTACCAGCATCTATGGCTGGACCAGAACAACTTGGATGGCGCTGTTCCCTTGGAACTCGCTATGCTGACCACATTGAAGACTTTGTCTCTTGGTTGGAATCCAAAACTTGGAGGGACCATGGACAGCCACATTGGTCAACTCACAGCTCTGGAAGGACTCTTTTTGAATCGAAATGATCTATCTGGAATGATACCATCTGAAATTGGGTTGTTGAGCAACCTACATGTTGTGTCTTTGGGTGGCAACAACCTAGAAGGATACATTCCTGAAGAGCTTTGGCGACTGACTAAATTGGTTGCCTTCATCGTGGGCCGAAGTAAAGAGCTGCAAGGCAGTATTCCATCAGAAGTGGGCCTTCTAACAAAGTTGCGGCAGCTCTACATGCAAGAGAGTGATTTCACTGGTACGAAGTTTGCTTTCGGCTGTCCTGTCTGGTGTTGCTGGTGTCAGTTCCATCATTCTAATCATCCCTTTCTTCCTTTTTTTAAGGTTCGATTCCAACAGAGATTGGCAGATCAACGTCACTTGAATCGCTCATGTTGTTTGTGAATAGATTTTCTGGCACCCTGCCAAGTGAGTTCGGCCTTCTCTCGAAACTGACGATGATGTCCTCATTTGACAATTCCATACAAGGCACAATCCCTACGGCTTTTGGCAAACTCTCAAATCTCACGCAGTTTTCCATCAAGATCAACCAGCTCACCGGGCCTGTGCCCAGTGAGCTTGGACTGCTCACCAACCTGGCGTACACATGCAACTTGAGGTTCAATCAACTTACTGGAAGCATTCCAACAGAATTTGGGCTCTTGACACACTTAAGAGAGCTGGAATTCTCTCACAATCTTTTATCAGGACAGATTCCATTAGAGTTGGGAAGCTTGGCAGCCATGGGGAAACTAACATTTGCCAATAATTCTCTCTCCGGGATTATTCCCCAAGAGTTGTTTGCACTCCAGCAGTCCCTGCACACTCTTGCACTGGAGGGGAATCCGCAGTTGTCTGGTTCTGTTCCTGATCGCATTTGTGCCATCAATGGAACTTGCATTGGAAGTTACGTTGATCCATGTGTTGGCCCGTATGGACTCTCATTTGACTGCACTGATTTGCTCTGTGGATGTAATTGCGCATGTGCATAGATCCAATGCATTTTCTGCTAAAACTGTTTACCATTTTATTTAATTAAAAAAGGTAGTCATATCAGTAGACTCGACTCTGAAAGATGTGCCTGCTTCTACCATAGCTCAGAAGTTGTTAGATAAAAAATCCTTCTGGGCATTTGCTATGAACTTCCCTTACCGGTGGAGCAAGGATGAGGTACCCATTTATCTCTCCGTGGATCCCACAAAGCCAAACCCTTTGGCCCCTGTATTGGTCCTCAATTTCTTGCCCCTGATCGAGCGGAACCTAGTCCTGAATTTCAACTCTTCTTTGCTTTTAAAATAAGCTTGTCCCTGACTGGTTTCTATAGATAATCTACCTGCTGTACGGTGAAAGGGCCCGAAATCGCAATTTACACCAAATTCCGATCTATTTTTAGGGGGGTCAAGGAACGCTCCTAAATTTGATGACGTGTTCGGTTGTGCGGAGTGCGGAAGCACTCTACATCAACAACGGGTACAGAACCGGTACCAGGTACCGGTACCAGCGCTCTGCTGGTAAGTTTCATTGTTCTACAGTGGCTCCACGAAGTTAGACGAAGTAAGAGATCATGGAAGGAGCTAAGGATGCTGCAAAGGCCGGACTTGTGGCCGCTGGACGCCCTGTAGAGTCCGAGGAACAAGCACTGGCACCTGCAGGGGCGAAGGAGGCGGAAAAACAACCGTCCAACCATTCCACGAAGGAAGAAGCATCTTCTGCAGCTGCATCCGCAGGAGTCGTCATGGTGTCGCACTCCGTGGCACTGGCAGAATTGGCAACCTTTAACGGACGGACCATCGAGAAGAAAGTCAACGACGAGGAAGAGAAATGTGAAGTGGAAGCCCCAGCGTCCCACTATGATGGACTGATGGAAGATTTTGAAAATCTTTTGTCCAAGCCGGATCCTGTACCACCGCCATGCCTCAGAAAACCTGAACATCAGCCCGCACAACGACAAGAAGAGAGGCAACAGCAACCGACAAGACCGGGTGCATTTCCAGAATGGCCAAACAGTGACAGTCGGGACAACAACAATCGCACAGCTGCACCAGAATCGTCCGTATCCAGCACGGATGGCCTGGTAGTGGCTAGCTTGGTCGTAGAATCCGGAATTCTGCCCACCGCATTGCCACACACAGACGACAACAATGGCAACAGGAGAAGAGATTGGAATGCAAAGCAATTCAAAACGAATGTACTCCTTGGCATCATTGCATTAGTTGCCATCATTCTTGTTTTGGTTGCTATTTTGGTCCCTGCCGCTGACGAATCTACAGAAGCTCAAGCAGCAAGCACAGTAATGGAGAGTAGCTACCCCACCCAATCACCAACTTCTGTTGCAGATTCCGTGCTCTCCATCTTTCCAGACGAATCCTCTTTTCAAATTTTGGAGGACCCAGATTCACCACAGGCAATGGCATTTGAATGGCTATTGGAAGAAATTGACTCCTTGAAATCTCTTTTGGATGGTCGTATCATTCAACGGTTTGCCCTGGCTACACTCTTCTATTCCACAAATGGTGAGAACTGGGCAATGAACGCAAACTGGCTCAATCACAGCATCCATGAATGTGACTGGTACACCAAACCAGAATTTGCATTGATGGACACCATATCTCAGCTCTATCCTGGTTTTTTGAGAGATTTCTTCTCAACACCACTCCCAACATCTTGTGACGAAAATGGCATGTATCAACATCTCTGGCTGGATCAAAATAATTTGGGAGGCTCTCTTCCATTGGAGATCTACATGCTGTCAAACCTCAAGACTCTTTCCCTGGGATACAACCATATGGACGGAAGTATTTCGACTCTTATTGGACAGCTCAGTTTTTTGGAGGGAATAGAGATGAATCTTGCCCTCAAGGGACCTGGAAGCATACCAACTGAAATTGGTAGTGCCACTGAATTGAAATACATCAGTCTTCGAAGCAACAATCTGCAAGGGTCAATTCCCTCGGAGCTGTGGCAGCTTTCCAACTTGGACACTTTGTCGCTCGGTCTTAACCAGCTGCAAGGGAGTATTCCAGCATCCCAAATTGCAAGGCTGACAAAGTTGAGGTGGCTCAACCTTGAGGAGTGTGGTCTCACAGGTACATCATCTGGCAACCTTGTGGTATGAATCCTCCTTTTTGCTATGATGTTCCGTTTCCTCAGTGTCTCTTCATACTGCTTTTAGGTTCAATACCAACAGAGATTGGCAAAGCAACCTCCCTTGAATTCTTTGCTGCCTATCTCAATGGGATAAATGGTACACTTCCAAGTGAATTGGGTCTTCTCTCAAACTCATTTCTCATATCACTGTTTGGGAACTCACTTGAAGGCAAAATCCCCACAGAGATTGGTGAACTGTCAGGTGTAGCCTTGTTTGCTGTTTGGGGCAACCATCTTACTGGCCCTGTGCCAAGTGAGCTAGGACTCTTGACTAACTTGGCCTACACCCTGAACCTGCGGCTCAATCAACTGTCGGGAGCCATCCCAACAGAGCTTGGGCTCCTGACTCGCACAAGAGAAATGGAACTTCATAGCAACCAACTAAGTGGCACAATTCCTACAGAGTTTGGCCAACTCCAAGCAATGGGCCAGCTGTCATTTGCGAACAATTCTCTTTCTGGAACTGTACCACAAGAGTTGTCAGCTCTGCAGCAAACCCTGCATACACTCAGTTTGGAAGGCAATCCACTTCTGTCTGGGTCTATTCCTGCTGGCGTTTGTGCCATGAATGGAACCTGCATTGGTGATGCTTTGGACACCTGTGAGGCTCCCTATGGACTTTCATTTGACTGTTCTGGTTTGCTCTGTGGCTGTGGATGCTCCTGTAACTGAGACTGAAATTGAAGCGATATTGTCCCGTCCAATTCCAACGAGTTTGTTTGGTCTTCTGCATCCTTGGATTGAAAGGCCTTGAAAAGATGCCACGGTTCCCTCAGTTGGCACTCCCGCACCTACGATTCGATTCAGTCCATGTTGACCGCTTCAGCCAGCCAGCGATGCAGGTCCTCGAGAAGCCTTTGCGTCTCCTCCTCCCGTCAAACGAAGTTGTGAGCAACCATCACGAATCAGCAGTGTTGCGCTCAGTACGGAAATGCTCGACGACCGATGTTCGCAAGTAGCCACTGAGATGAGAATTTTTGCGGGGCCAAAACAAGAGGTGTGAGCCGTTTGGTGAGGGTGGGGCACTCAAGCTCCACACCAGGAGGTGCGTGACGACCATCGAGATTGAAAGAAAAAGATTATGCCTGTGATGCGAGTGAGGGACGACACCGAAGGTTTCGATATGGTGTTCCAAAAAAGTCAACGCCAAGCCAAACGTGGTATTGCGTTGCATGGACGCTTGGTCGTGCTTCGCTACCGCGCACGGGCACGATACGGCTGCGACGAAACACCAAGGAGCACGCAAATGAGACCACAACAAGAGCAGCTGGTCGGAACGCACATTCTGCTTCATTCTCGACAAAAAGTGACTATGCTTTGGATATCGTCATTGACGCTATCCCTGCTTCAGCTTTTTATTGCACGGCAGAGTGTTGAGCAGCACTTGACACGGTGCAAATGGTACATAAGACGAAGCAAGAGCAGACGCTACAGTTATAGGTTTGGCTCTACAAACTATGATTGCTGGGATGCGTTGAAAAATGCCTGCGGCCCCGAGGCTTCTTCTTACGAGGAGATTTTCCAGGGGGCCGAGAACATCGAGTATGTCACTGGTATCCCTGTCAATACGACCATGAGCTACGTTATTCATTCACGAAACGGCCAAGTGCAGGAGGAAGTCGCTGCTTGGTCTGGCGTTGAACGAGGATCCGACCTATTCATAAAAGGCTGGGGAGGTTTTGACGTCATGGAAGCCTGCAGCAGGAGAGTGAAACAAAGAGAAATTGAGCAACTCACCCCTGTCCTAGATATGTTTGTACTCGAAAGGCTCAAGGAAAAAGCCAAGACTTTGAACAACTGCAGACATGGCGGTCCCAAAAAAGAATTGATCCAACGGCTCATCCAACACCCTGATTTCAATGGTCCCCTAGATATCGCCTTGTTGGCTCAAGACTCTGAACCTCGTGATTTTCATCCCACGAAAGGGAAAGGTTGGCGCGGCCGTTATACCCCCGAAGATGTACGCAATGCTGTGATGCACAACACAGCCCCGTGGCTAGTGGGTTCTCCAACAGACGTCGCCATTGAAGCATATTTTGGGGATGTCATCCACGAGAAGTGGGTCTTTAATGCTCTTCGTGTCATACTAGGAGCGGGCAGAGACTGCCCGATGCGACTGCATCTCATAGCCAACTATGATTCGTGGAGGCAGGAAAGAAATTTAAACTCTTTGGATGAGGTTGTTGCTGCAACCAATGCTTTTTTGCAGGGTGAGAATCCATTCTGGCCAGATGAATGGGAATACATGAATCCTTAGCAGTTGCTCTCTGTCAGGCGGAAAGAAGTCCTTGCCCATTTGCCTTTGGGAGGCCCTCAATTCAACTATTTCCACCATCTCGATGATCTCAAGGACAAAGGACGGATGAAGGTCCTCCGCAGCAGACATGAGGTGCGACAAATAGGCGAGCAAATGAAAAACTGCGCTGGTTCATATGTACCCGACGTGGCAAATGGAGGAACTTTGCTTGTGGCGCTAATGAAAGAAGACAAGGTAAATGTGCCGAGGGCTTTGGGCATGATCTCGTATTCAACGGACGACAAGAGGCTACAGACAACGTGGTCACAGATATACTTGTCTTGCAACAGGGTCGCATCGGAGGAAGACAAGAAGCACTTTTATGACTTCGAGCCCCAGATTAAGGCCTGGCTGAATGCAACTTCCTCGTAGAAGCTACCTGGATCTGTCGCAAGTACGTACCGGTAGTGCATTTGGTAGAATCCCGACACAAGTGCGCACCGTCTACGCAGTACGTTCGGCTTTTGACATCTCTTTAGAGTGAGTTTGTTGGCAAGGTCTGTTCATAGGCTGTCGTCTAGCTAGGAGTTCCATCTGAACCGGCCGAGTCGAGTCTCCAGAGCCGAAGGAGAGACTACGGAATTGTTTTTTCTTCGCTCGCGCTTTCCGTTTGTAGATTGTGCCGATGCAAAAGGTATCATCCTTACTTTAAAATTGTATTATCCGCTCGGCAGTCAACGAAGGCAACTCTGGCATGGTGTTCAATGCCAAGCACCCACGCGGAAAAGCACAACGACGTCCCAGGCAACTATTGCTCTGGTTGGAGCTTTGTCTCAGCATCACGCATGCCCACGTACAATCAACTTGAAGGAGCCCCGAGTGGCCGAGACTCAAGACAGGCGGCTGACGCGTCCATTGTACGTCTCTCGCCTTTGTAGGACAGTCGAGGAGCAAACACTACAACGAAAATAGCTAACTGGTGGTTTTTATGTGGAAGACAAGCTACCGGTAGCTAGCTAGAGTAAAGAGCGGGTTTTGTGTTTTGATTGATTGATGTTTTAGAGATATTACGTTTTGAAAGAAGCTACTGTAGTTGTCTGAGCATTTTGTGCCCCACAGCCGGAGAATGATCCCGTAGGTTCAATCTGCCCGTCACTGTGCCGCTGAAACCTTTACATGAGAATCCAATCTGCTCCTGTCACGCCTGGTAGCGGAAGGGATCTCACAGGCTCACTATTGCACGGAGTTTAAATCCCAGAATGAATATTGGTAACAAGTGTCATTTTCACTTCCTCTTGGGAACCAGTATCACCCCCACTTGGGGGGCACCAGAACCTCAGAGTTGCTTTGGACTCCCTCCGCCGAAGCCAACCCACAATCACCTCACCAGAATTTCCAACACATCTCCATCATCTTGGATGGAACAGAAAGAAGTGCCAGTCACTCAGCACAGCCGCTGAGTGCTGCCTCCTCCATTGCCTACAGCTCACCATCTCGACCAACCTCCATTGGAGTGTTGCGGATGAGTCTCTTGGCAGAATGCTACAAACCAGTCCTTTTGTGGACCATCTTGCTCCACACTTACGGCAGTGTGTCAAAAAGCAAAGAGTCATGCGGTACACCTATCAGAGCCAGGGAGGCCCTGGGTGCCCAAAACATGTTGATTTGCAAAGCAGCAACTTATGAGCTCATGTCGAGGAGTGCAAGTGAAGCGATTCTGGTGGTGATTGATTGATTGTCGGCGGAGAAACGCGAAATGGTCCCTTTCGTTTTTTCGTGGTTTCGGAGGACATCGAAACGGACCCCTCCGTCAAGTTTCATCGATCAAGAATAGTCTACGGTATTGTGGACAGATGATGTATGTGGAGAGTCCTGTCCTGTCTGTCCACTACAAGGACGGTGTCTGCCAACTACTGGAAGATAGGAAGGAGCCGTCGGAGTACTGTACGTCGTCTTGATTGTTGATTGGAGTGAGAAACTGTAACGGCAAGCACTGACTTCTCTGTACTAATAGCCTTAAGTTAACCCTTCGATTCGTGTCTTGTGTGACGCCTAACTCGTGAATGATCTTGAAAGGATCTTTCTCGTTGCCAACTCCAAACCCTCGAGGGAGACTGTAGTTGTTGTTCTCGGGAAGTGTTTGCTATCGCAGTTGCTTGGAAGAAGACCGTAATCTAGCTAGCTAGTAGTAGCCAGAGTTTGACAATGGCGATTCTACCCGGACAACGTTGTGACGAAGAAGAAGAAAAGAAGGAAGACCCCATGGTCCAAGAAATTCTGATACGAGGAGGAGCTCCTCTCCGACCCGACCACGAACTATCGACATCTCTATCACTGGGCGAACGCATTACCAAAGGCAAGACCATCCTACTCCTGTCCAACTTGGTGACACCCGACGAACTGGACTATTTGGTGGAATCGTCCATTGCCGCTGCCGATGCTCAAACCGACAAGCAAGACGGAGACATGATTTGTACGCTGGAAGAAGGATACAAGGGCAAAGTCTTTATCCGTATGCCGCTCTTTGCCGCGGCGCAACGAGAGAACTGTACGGACGGATTGCCCGAATCCATCTCTCTCAAATTAGAAGAAATTTTGTGGAGAGCATTGGACTGTATGGATCGACAAGTCTGCCCCTCTCTCAAGGCCACTGTATTAAATGTATCGCAAGACGACAATACAACAGATGCTTCCATGGCCGGATTGTTCCACAATCAACAACTCCAATTTTCCATCCGCGAACCCGCTATCAATGTCTACCGCGCCCCGCACGGTCATTTTGCCATGCACAAGGACGGACGAGATTTGACCATTCTCATGTCGCTGTCGGATCCCACCCAACAATTCACGGGCGGTGGTACGGCCTTTTGGAGTCAGTCATTTCCCCACGAAGGACTGGACGAACCCTCCTTGATTCTGGCACCTCCTCCCGGAACCGCCATGGTGTTTGGAGGAAAAGTCAGTCACAAGGGATGCCACATTCGAACGGGGACCCGAGTCATGTTTGTGGCTAGTTTTAATCGGCCAATGGCACAAGAAAAAGAAGAAGAAACAAAGGAGGGGTGATGCATGAATGATATTGGAGAGATGGAAATACCGGTAGTCAATCTGACAAGAGGAAGGTCAGAGAACCAAGGACCTGCCGATAGAAGACGCCTGGTTCAAATCACTTATTAGGTATACGGAACCGATCTAGCTAGCTTGGAGTCTCAACCTTGTGGCTTTGGTCGAGATCATTTCGCTCTCCAAGCGCACCTGGCTGGTATTGGTGGTAGAATGAGTCAAGAATTTTCCGAATCGCTCCACCTCGGCTAAGGGGTGAGAACGGATAATCTAGCCACGACTTAGAACAACTTATACACTACCGCTTCTGATTCTGAACGTAGATCAGAAATCATTTCATGACAACCAACCTTGCGTCTGCATCGTTCCGTCCCTCCTTGAGAGCGACGTTTGCCCAGACAACTTGAAGGCATCCCTACAGGACCAATGAAGCAACTGCTGACTACTGTACCGGTATAACTAACTGATTGTATGGCGGGCAGGTGAGATGAATAACTGCATGGAAGCATACTGATGTCAACCTGGGAGCAAGCAAATCAGTGAAGAGATGAAGAGGTGGCCAAGATAAGAGAGCAGAGGACCTGATGAACTGAAGATTATGATCATGCATGTTCGCTACTACTGGTACTAGTACTGGTAGCTAGTATATAGTACGGTACTACAGAAGAGTTTTGCCGGTAATTTTTCCATGCTAGTAGATTGTTAGATTTGAATCGAAAAAATAGTCACAATGACTGCTTTGGCGCCATGGCGCGCCATCTGTTGCAGATGTAAACAGTGATAGGAGCGTCGGATGAGTTAACAACCAATGAAAGGTCTGTCGACAACACTGTAAAGAAGACTCACCTTGTGTATCAGCCATTGGTAACAGTCATGGCCACCCATATCGACAGCATGCTATAGAGAGCTCAATTCTGTAACTCGGTGTCACCGTCTGCATCCACTCTCTCTGACTCGGTTAGATCCTCTGTTGGCGCCTCTGAGTGGTCGTTCAAGCTCTGGAGGAAGGCCTCTCGCTCATCTTCATTCATTGACTTGATCCAAGACTTTGCCTTTGCCATTGATAGCTCTTTATGACGGCCAAGCTCGGTGTCTTCCAAGCTGATGTCAGAAGCAATCTTTTCCGTGAGCTCTGTTAACTTTTGTTCTTTGTCCTCTGGCCAAGGCTCCAATGCAGCAACCTCTACATCTTTCAGCTCTAGCCACCGAGCCATTCTCTCATCTTTCTTTGACAGTTTCGATGGACAAGGCTTGCCACTCTTCCAACCAATCAAGTCTTTCAGGTCCTCACCATTCAATCTGCTGAGAGGCTTCTCTGATTCAATGACAGCGAATCCTTTTTGTTGCCTCTTCCACGCTGCGACATGGGTCTTTTTCTCTTTCTCCAGCTCTTCTTTCTTCTTGCGGAGTTCCTTCCTCTCATCCGCAATAATGAAATCGTCGTCATTGAGTGCTGCTCCTCCGGTTACCTTGAAGACTTGACCTTGGGTTGCGGCTGCCTCCAGCTTGAGCTGCCGATCCATTGTTCTGGGTGCTGTGACGGCTGCAGCTCGCTTCGCTTGTGAGAACTCTGTCGCTTTGGCACGAAACAGATCACCATTGTAGCCAAAACTGTCAAGGATCTGACAGCACATCTCATTCTTCTGGTTGAGCTCTTGGAGATAGGAAGCATTTGGGTCAACCGCGTCATCGGCCTTGCCCTCCGAGTCGACAACACACTCTGAACGGACCTTCGGATCATTGAGAGCAGCACGAGTGAACTGCGGATATACACCAAGCTTGTTGCTCCATGCATGCTGGGCTCTGGTAACAGAGAAAGCCTCTTCAACTGCGTTGCGAAGAAGAGGAAAGGAAGAATCCTTCTCACGGCGGCGACTGCTGCCGTATGTTAGCAGACCAATATCATTTCGAGTGATGGAATCTGTTGCCTCAACCGTGTTCTGCCGATACTCCCAAAGCAACTGGAGATTATCAAAGAAGACCATCTTGAATAAACCAAATAGCATATCCATAATTTGAAGGATGTGCGTCGTATTGGGTGGTCCAGAAGGGAAGAGATAGATGCCATGTGACCGGAGCTCAACAAGCATCTCTTGGTTGGTGCGGCCAGGTCCACCATCAACAAGTAGAGTGGATCGTTTGCCTGGAACATCAGCTGTATCTTCAACAACTAATGGAATATAGTTGCCACGCGTCCACTTGCCAAACTGTTCCTTGTTCATTCCACCTTTCTTGTTAGCCCCATAGGTTGCTGACATCATTTTGACTCCATCTTCCAATAGAAACTGACCAGACGTTTGGAGAATATCGACAATAAATTCAGCTGGCACAACCATATCCTTCTCATCTTGAGCATCGGATGGAATCTGGAAGTGCTCAGGAATCTTTTCACCTGAAGCAAAGCAACCAGCGAGAAGCGTACAGTGATAAGAACTCTTGTGCGCTTCATAGACGGCTTCTCCTTGGAGCCTTGGATTATAGAATTGCATTGGAGGCCGGCCTCCTTTTTGGCTCTTGGTATCATCGAGTGTCAGCCCAGACTCATCAATATTGGCGATCCTCCGTCCTTGAGTGCTGTCGACCCAAGTGAGCTCTCCTCTTGTGGCAATGTCTTCCGTATTCTCAGTGGCAGCTCCGATGTGGATGAGGTGTGCCTTGAGAGAGTCGTACCACAAATTGATATTGCTATGAGTGGCCCATGCATTTCTCCTCTTTTCCACACGGTTTGGCTTTCCAATGTCAAGCACATCTCCAATCTCATTTTCGACTCTTTCTAGCAGCCAGCGTCCTTGTCGTTTGCCAAGACCTTCTTTCTTGTTGACGCATGTGTTGAGCTTTCTTGCGATCGTGGATTTGTCAGCCTTCTGAGTGAGGGAACTGTAAGTTTCAACTGCTCCACACAAAGCTTTGAATCCAAGAGGATCGATCCTTCCCTTTGGGCCCCTTCGCTTGGGACTCTTGCCAGCATCTCCACGTTTCACCATGTTGCGAATAGACTTGCCATTGAGCTGCGTTCCGTGGAGAGCATTATACTCCCTTGCAATTGTCTCGGCCGATTTTGGAACGTACTCAAATTCCTCCAGTTGTTGAGCCTCCTTCATCAGTAGCTCTTCCTTCCACAACAGAGTAGCAGCCTTGTAGTGAGCATTCTGGGTGTCCCGTTCTTGTTTCTTCTGTCTACGGACGGCTGCAGCTTGCCGACCAGTCAATCGATTCTTTTTGGCCAATTTGTCTTTGAGACTCATTTCTGCAGCAGCTCTTTGGATCTCAGATAGATGAGGAGGTTGTTTGGGTGGTTTGACTGCTTCAATCATCTCATCGTGGGCTTGGGAGTCCGATTTGAAGGTATTTGATCTGCGGCGAACTTTCTGTCGCAGATTTGGATCCTCTCTCTGTGGCGTATTCAATCCAGCATATTCCATGACCTCTTTGATGTTCATTCCTGCAGCCTTTGAAAGGTAGTGAATACTAGCCGCCTTTGCCACCTTCTTGGGTGTTGCCACACAGTTCCGCTTGGACGGAGGCGCGGCCATGGTGGACGAGTGACGATTGATCTATCTATCTATCGATCGATCGAAAAAGGAAATATGGCTGCTAGCTACCGTACATGCTATTATCTTCTATATCTAGTAAGGAAGTTAATATATCTTAGAAGCGTGGAGGGTTACTGTGCCAGAGGTGCCCATCTTCATCTGATCGAAACCATATCATTTCCCAAAGAGAGGTCCATTGGGCTGGGAGGTGACATGGTTTCGGAGAGAATTGTGAGGGGGGTTTTTGAGTGGCGGCAGGCTCCCTGCATGTGTTACACGGAAAGGGAAAAATTACTGACAAAACCTGTAGTACGGATGTACGGCACGGACGTATCCGTGAGGTTTCCTCACGACTTAATGATGGGGGTTTCAAAGGGGGTTAGTTAAAACATTTTTTGGCAGGGCTCCACTATGCAAAACTAAGTGGCTGGACCAATTTTTCAATCAGGTATACGGAGGCTTTTGGGCAGGTTGGCACAGCCATGGTAAAGCACTCCCCTATTGAATTTACACTGCGCAATGTAGATCTGACAAACGCACAACAACCAGCTGTGAAAAAGCTATGGGGAGAAAATGAGATGGGGTGATCTTCATCTGGTAATCTGAGAGGGGGAATCCATTTGAGCTCCCACCAGTATGATTGTTGTTGTTAATGATTACAGAATAGGGGGTACCAAAATACTCTCCCCAAACCATGAAGCACCACTGACGAGTGACGAGACAGATGCTTTCTTGAATGAGCAACAACAAGACAGAAATCAGACAGTGAAAAGAATCATAGCATGAGTAGGAGTGTACGAGTAGACACGTAGATAGACACCTGATAGCTCGCCTGATTGAGGTTGTGATAGTTGTGATTCCATTCAATCCGATCAATTCACATTCCAACTTGCCGGCCAGCGAGAACACCATCAGTATCTGAATTCGGCACTACTATCACCACCATGGAGGCGCACTTCATTGTTGTAGTAGTCTAGATCATCATTGTGGAGATATCTTTGGCCAATTATAGAGATCAGAGAGCGGTTGAACATAATGTTGTGTGTTTTGACTGAGTGTGGGGATACTGAGTGTGGAGATACTGCGAGTCGCGTCGAGTCGAGTCAACAATGGGAGAGATGATTGGATACCAGTGAGCTACCACTACAGGAGCGAGGCGTTGGATCCTTTTTAGGCCCGAGTATGCCATTCATTGTCATTGTTGTGGTAGGTTCGTAATGATTGAACGATTTGATTCATTGTGCCACCGAAGCGTTGGATCCCTCTCTAGCAAGAGGAACATCGGACTGGCATTAGCATGATACAAGCAAGGTAAGCCTATTTTCAAGTTCTATGGCAGTCAGATCTCGTACGTTAACAGGTGAGTTGTGTGAGTGACTCCTTTATTTATTGGAGTTGGTCGATTGCAGCACCTTTACTATATCAAGCCTCACTCAAACTGAAGAGTTCTGAGGAAATTCGATTGTCGAGTCAACCAAGAAGAGAAGCTACCGAATAAGAAGACAAGGATCTGGTTTCTTCAGCCCTATCACAAGTCTGAGCAGAGGGAGGGCGTTGTTGTTGAGTCATTGACATGCAACAATCAACCTAAGGAGGCTACACGACAACAAACACTGGAGAGTTGATCATACTATGGGATTCCTTCCACCTTGCGATTTCCATCTGAGAAGGGCATCTGAAGGTAGGATACGAATCAATAAGGTACCTTATCAAACCTGAGGGTAAGGTCGACCCTACGATATAGATCCATATCCAACCTTCAGTAACTGCAAGGTAACTTTGTCGATTGACATCCAAGGGAGAAACAAACCTGGAGCTATGGCTCCTATTAAACTATAAGGTGTCTTTCTAATGATCGATAAGATGTCTATCTAATAAAAGGAGTGGTCTACTGGTTGGTACTCGGCGTTCTAGCTAGTTAATCTATCTTATCGTACGAAATCACCAAATCGTCGTCGACTTAGCCAAATCCTCGAAATTGACTTGTGCATACAGGAAAATGGGTACCGACACAGGAATCACCACCAAAACACTAGGAAATAACAAAGAGGGATGAATCCGGTAGAAGGATCCATTGTCTTGTGTGCGAGCGAGTTGTTGTCTTGTGGCTGTTGCCTCCTCAAGATTGTTGCCATTCAACGACTCGACGACGTTCAAGCTGCTGATAGGGCTTGAGTTAACAGTCTCCTCCGTAGCATGCAGTAGCCTCCTCTCTTCTTGTTATCCGGAGCGACCAGATCGATCCATCGGAAAATGAGAGAACAGAAAGTAAGAAATAGATATAGTTTTCTCTTCTCTTCTGATACTGCAGACAACCGGAGACTTACCCTTGTTTTTCAAATTGCACCAACTTGGCCGTCATGGGCCCAGAACAGACTGCCATCACATGGTCCATAGGATTCAATGAGGGATGGCTTTTGCTTCTGCACCAGAGACAGCCGGCTTGGGCGAGGCTTGGATAACAGAGGTGGGATCGATTCGATTCTATTCGAATGATTAAAACAACTCACCTGTTGTTGGTCAAGCTCGGATTTCTCTCCTCAATACCATAGAAATCCAATGAGGGAGAGAGGTCAGTGCTGCACCTTCAATAACACTCTTGATAATAGACTTACCTCGTCGTAACAGTAGTAGCAGTAGCAGCGATCGGCCGCTCCTCCACCATTGGATTTATCTCCTGTTTACCATAGGAGTACAATGAGTGCTGCTGCTGCTCTGCTGTGCCGTGTCCGAAAAGTCCACAGTAAACAACACTGTACTGGTGCCAGAAGCTGGTATTGGTAGCCAGCCTGGCAAGATTGACAGTCAAACTGTCTAATTGGCATCAAAGCACTTCCCTTTCAATGAGTACGGGTATCATAATTAATAACTTAGCTGGCTGAAATCTCCTTGGAGCCTCACGCACTTTCCACACCATCCCAGGCAAAGGTTTTTCTTAAAAAAGTCAGGCAAATGAAGATTTAGGGAAGAAGATGAACAGCTACAGGATGACTTCTTTTACCGCTGACAGGTGTCAAAATGTGAGCATTTTTGACGGTTATGTTTCGGTTTTCGGAAATGGGAATTCAAAAGTTGTCATTTCGCGAATCCTGCATTGAACTGACTGGTTCTTACAAAGACAAGATTGAAGAAAAGAAAATGAATTTTATCACCATGGCAACATAGTTGACCAAATGGCCATTAGCTTTGCCAATACATTGAGATAGCAAATCCTTTTCTAGAACTAGCTCCCCAACACACTCACAGAGCCACCCCTCAAAAAGGATTTGCTATCTCCAAGGTTTCCTATGGAGCTTCTAGGGAAAATCAGGCTTGGATTCCATTTTGTTGTCATTCTGACATGGATTTCTCCATGGAAAAGGTGCTCCTGTCCTCACTCTCAGCACTCAATCTGCAATGTAGAGTATGGTAGAGGAGTGGGTGGCTTTGCATAAAGACTGGAGCACCCAATTCAAAGTTTCAAAAGAGAATTGTTGGCTTTATGACCACAAATGGAGCACATTTCCTGTTTGTTGTTCGTCAACCAGTCATTACAGTAGTAGAGCCAGTGCCATTGACGAGGCGTTGCTTGTCGTTCTAGTAGTAGTCGCTTGTTGTTGCATAAGCAGTAGAGGCGTCGTCGTTCCGTGGAAGAGGAAGCGTCATGGTCGCTTTGATTGATTAAGTCGGAAGAAAGAAGTCAAAGAAGTCGGAAGAAGCTCCGTCGGCCGATCTATCGAACGGAAGCAGTCAACGACCGTTCGCTCCCAACCAACCAAGAGGAGCCTGTCATGGTGGTGAGTAGTAGCCTTTGTTAAGAGGAGAATAGCGGCTGTAAAGAGGAGGAAGCATCATCTTGATAGAGGAAAGATAGAGGTATCGATCCAAATAATAAAAGAAGAGGTGTATGAGTGGCTTGGATTGATCCGAAGCGAATGATGTCAGTTGAGATTAAGGTTAAGGCGATATGTCCCTTTTAATTAAGTCTTTTCACAGAACGTTCCTGGAAGTTCCGGCTCGCATTCCAATGTCATACCGGGAGCGGGCTTGGGTTTGTCGCGATAGTTTAGATTCAGCCTGTAGCAAGGTGAACCTTGCATTCGTGCAGCCGTGCTTGCACGCAACCGGACGAAATCTACTCGAGCAAGGACCATCGACAACTTTTTATTAGTCATTGTTCCTTCCCAATATAGATGTCAAAGCCCTGACTGACCATGATGTTGAGTGCTACAGAATCATTGACTTTGTTATTATGGGTTGTGTTGATCGCGTCGTCTGTCGTTGATGCGATCCGAGTGCTTCCATCCGCGGAACGATCTGCTGCCGATGAAGTAGTGTCTTCTATTTTGTTAGAAGAACCGCCGGAGCTGCCAGTGAGCAGTGCGGACCGGCATCGAAAATTGTCGTCGACAGTGGAGGTTCCCTTTCCAGCGACACCGGAAGATCATGAAATTAAATCTTTGCCTCTCTTGGCCGAAGGCACGTTGACTACCAAACACTGGGCTGGGCTGTTGCCGGCATCGGCGGAAAAAGACAAGTACTTTTTTTATTGGCTCTTTGCGCCAGATACATCCCAGCATGCGGAACTCAAGGATGGTGCTATTCCTCTGGTGATTTGGGTAAGTTGATTGGTTTTCTGTAAATTATTTCATGGGCAAAATGGAGCAACCAGAATTAATCAAATCTTTGTCGCTATTTCGTCATTTTAACTGGCATTGTTTTTAATTCTTCAAATCTATTTGCAGCTCAATGGAGGTCCTGGCTGCTCGTCGATGGACGGCTTGTTTCTGGAAAATGGACCTTTGCGGTTTGAGAAGGATGAAAGTGGCAGCTATAAGCTCGTGGCGGCACAGCACAGTTGGCACAAGACTCCCGCCTACATGCTCTACATTGATCAGCCAGTGGGTACTGGACTCAGTTTTACGACCTCCAAAAAGTATCCCAGGAATGACCTCGAAGTCAACCAGGACTTCTATTACTTTTTTCAATCCTTCTTGAAAGCTCACAGCGACAAGTTTGTGACCTCCCAACGATTGAATCGGCCCTTTTATTTCTCGGGGGAAAGCCATGCCGGTGAGTTTCTTCTACTATTGGTAGCATTCCAACGGGGTTGACGTTCTCGATCGTCTTCTAACTTACTTGTGTGTTTGCCAAAATTTGCTTTTGGACTCGATTTGTCATGCAATTCAAGGCCACTACATTCCTTCCATGATGGCATTCATCTTGGATCAGAACAAGCAGCTTGGACCCGATGCCATCAATGTGCCTCTTTCTGGTGCCGCAATTGGTAATGGATGGGTCGACCCCTTTCATCAATATGCTGCAGCGGAAGCTGCATATGGACATGGTATCATTGGCCTGGCACAAAAGGCAGCTTTCGAAGAAAAGGAAAAACAGTGTCAAGCATACATCAACGAAAAGAAATTCACTGCCTCGGTATGCTTCAATTTGCTCGATGATATTGTCAAACAATCCTATGGTTCCAAAAGCAGCTTCAAAGTCAGTCAGTATGATATTCGTCAAGTGGAAACGAGAGGGGGAGACCGAAACTTTCCTCCAGGTCACAAAGTGGTCGAGGCTTACCTTGGTGACAAGGGTACTGCAGCAGGAATTACAACATCGACAATGAACGATGCATTGCAGGCCATCCATGCCTCTGAATCCAGAGCAGCAGGGCAGAGGTTCCAGGAGTGTACAGACCCCCCATACAATGCACTCAGTCATCAAGACGGACTGGGCGTTGTCAATGAGGTCATCCAGGTTCTGGAATATGAGCCAGCAGAAGGTGAGACAGATGTCAGACTGCTGTTTTTCAATGGTGTAACAGATTTGATATGCAATCATGTTGGCAATGAGATCATGTTAGAACAGTTGAGTTGGAAACACCAGTCTGACTGGACCAAGGCAGCACGATCCGCTTGGAAATCCAAGTCACAAAAAGGCGACAAAATTTCAGGATATATGAAGGAGTTCAAAAATCTGCTCTATCTGAAAGTCATGGATTCTGGACACATGGTTCCCATGGATGTGCCGGAGGTGTCATTGGACATGATGCGATTGTTTGTTTTCGGTGGGGAAGGGGCCTTTCAGTACAGTCCACAAGCTTTGGACAGATCCATCAAAACTGATGGAACATGTCCTTCCTGCCCAGTATGTCCAGCTAACATCACCAATTTCCAGATTGATTCACTGAGCAAGGGCAGTGAGGATACGGATGATGCATCATCTGCAGACAATACGAAGCTGTATGTTGGATTGGGGTTATTGGCAGGGGTCATTGTTGTCGTTATTGGTCTGCAGTTCCGATCCAAACGCAAAACACGTGTCAATGGTGCTTCCTATGATCTTGAAATGAGGGGTGGGACATACTTTGATGAGCCAGAACCTGCCGATGGAGCTTCTACCGATGGTGACAAATCCGCATCGAATTTTCGTGAAAGATAAGCATCATTGATTGAACTTGTCATTACCCCTTGGTAGAGTGCTTTGTAACTGGTTTACTAGCTACCGTGGCCGGTTTGTTTTATGGATAGTGTGCTATGGTCTGTATACTTCTAGCTAGGGTTGGGGCTGCGAGCTGAGCTTGTGTCAAGCTTATGCCGACCGAGGAACTAGCGATTGGTGCAGAGGCTTGTCGATACCGGCAATCTCGCTCTTCTTTTCCAATGCTACGGCTTCTTCCCAGAAGAGCGATTGTTTTTCGAGCTGGTACATTTCCAAGACCTCTTCATAATCTTTTGCAGCTGTGCGAAGGGCAAGGTCTTGCGCTCGGTTCGTAAATTGAGAGGCAAACCTGTACAGGGGTTCTTCGACGGCTGCATTTTCAGCTGCTTTGGGACACAGCCTATGATGAATCTTGTGTGCTCGTCGGAGAGTGTAAGACTTGTCGACCACCGCTTTGATGTAGGGGCGGACATCACGATTGACATGGTCTTTGTATTGCGGACGAAAGGGTTCGAGGCCACGATAGGTATTCCCCGTTAGGCTCACATCCCAAATCCCCATTTCACTTCGCAGCATGGCTATGATATCAGCTTGAATGGCAGCATTGAGCGTCTTCGCATCGTACCAAAGCTCGCATTTTTCTGCATAGGAGGTGGCAGCGGGATATTCATGCACGACAATCTTGTGAAAGCCAACACGACGACTCTTCTTATTGGGTTCGTGGGTTGGTTTATCATTTGCAGGACCAGCGGCGACAGGACCAGCCGTAAATTTGACTTTCATCATGCGAGATAGGTAAGAGTTTGGCATGGTTGGCAAGGCTGAGAACATCATTTTGTGGGATTCTTCCGAGTTGTGTGTTGGATGTGATAGTTTGGGTTGCTTTGGACGTGATGACGCAATGCTTGAAATTGTGAGCTGACCAAAAGGTTCTGCAGTGGTTGGTTGACTATTAGATGCAAGGGACTGATGGAATCAATTGCAGCCTTCTTTGGGCAAGTTCTCTAGCTTAAAAGGGGATTGGAGCAAGCTGTCCAAATTGTGAGTTCTTGGGAGAGTTTATTGGGGTGGGGTGGTGTACCGAAATCTAACTGTCCTGCTGTCCTGAGGAGAGGCGATACTAAGGCCTTTTCCCTCTGCACCCTACTGTACAGTGTACAATGCATTCTTCCGCTTATGACATATGTTTTGCTGTACCACCAGAATCTTGCGAAGGAAATTAATGCTCACTGAAGCCTTTTTGGGAGCTGATAAGTTCACTGTGGAACCAAGATATCCAGCAAGCACGGTACCGTAAGGACTTGGACCCTGAACGACCAACAATCCCGTCTCTTCCGAGATAAATGTACGAGTACAGTAGATAGCTCTAGCACTTGTCTAGAGCTAGTAGATGGCTGCAGCGGCAGCGACAAGCTAGCTAGCACTAGCACAAGCAGTTGATATCTAGTAGTAGGAAGAGAGCACAGGTACCACCCAGCAGCGCTTTGTTGTTACATAACCCAGCAGCAAATCCAGCGAAACTGTGCAAGACTAATTGCGACCAACCACGCCGGCACCAGTACTGCACCACCAGAAAGCCTACTAACCAGGTTGGCCACATCAGGATAAAGAAAGTCGCGTAGCCGGTCCACGGATCAGGCGCGGGGCTAGTCTGTGTCCAAGTAGGACAGTATCCAAGGTTTCAGCTGCATTTGAATTACACGAAAGCAATGGTAATCATGTGTTGAATTCCATTGCACTCAATGACCTGTAGCATCCAATGTCATCCCAAACGATCTAAGCGACGAATGTCAAGGCCGCTTTACTTTAACTTGAGGGTCGCTCCTCGCGGCTTGCTATCTCTGCATTCTGCCAATCTTTAGTCCGTTCCACCTCCGACGCCATGGCATGAGCTCAACGTTTGCCCCTTGCAACCGGAACTGCAACCTGTTGTGGCTGGATTTCCCAGCGAGACCGCATGTTTCAGCCATGGTCCCAAGCCCAAGGAGACCAATGATTACAAGTGCCCTGCCCCAAGTGGCCACACCTTGGCTCAAAGAATCAAGGCAACATTGAGAAAGAAGGCCTCGGAAGTGAACTGGGCAGCAAAGGGCTGGGACCATGGCGTATTTGTGCCTCTTCTCTGGATGCATTGAGACCAGTTCCCATATTGCAGTCCGTGATCGGCCCGGAGCATAGTCACAGTTTCACCCCACAAACTTGACGGCTCATCTGGGGGGGGGGGGGGACAGATTCATGAGGAGCTTCCAGCAACAAGTTGTCCAACGTACCCGCCATCATCATGAAATCTTCGTGGGAATCGATAAAGTGCACAAATGCGGCCCAGGCTGCTCATCCGTGTTATTTTAATTAAGTAGTGTTGAATTGTTGCGTATACCCCGAGCCAAGGACCAACACATCCTCCCGACGCTTCGCCATGGCCATGTTCTTTACTGGAACCAAAGAACTTGTGTGAAGACATCATTGGCTTCGCCCGCAGAGCGCACTCTCAGACAAGTATGACCGTAAATTCCCATGTAGGTTAGTAAGTTTGTTGTTGAAAGCACTGAACCTGCTTGTCTCCTTCCATTGGGTGCAAGCCGGGCCTTGTTGTCCGTACTGTACTGGAGGCAGAGTAACTGCGTTGTGATGATATACAGACAGACAGCGTGCCGTCGTTTTGAATCCATTTGCCCAGTTGTTGTGGCTGTGCCGTCCACTGGCACAATCGTAATTGAAGTCCTCTCATTCTTCAGGTGTGCGCACGCAAACACAACAGAAATTCATCGATTATTGGCAAACTCTTCGTCATCATCACTGTCAACTTCGTCTTCTTGCAAGGCCACTGATGATACCAGATTGAGTGCTGCCATTGGTCTGTGTTGTTCAGTTTGATCCATCCGAGAGATGCCGGGAGACAACCTGCAGTCGTTCTCCGTTTCGACGTCGTTATTGTGTTCCGTATCATTGTCGCCATTGTCGCTGCTGGGAGCCTCCACATTCTGGTTGCCAAGAACAGTCTCTGGATTTGTGGGCGTTGCCAATACCTGCGCTTCTGGTGTGGAAGCTCGGAAGGGTTGTACATCTTCTCCCGTTGTTGAGACTCGCTGGCTTAGTTGCTCATTGCCATGGGCAAACCAGGACCTTCCCCAAAAGGAAGGAGTTCGCTTTAGCGTATTGTTGAAACTATTTGTGGAAGCTCTTGAAGAAGACGGAGGTCGTTGATTGTTGCTGCTCCGGTTCTGTTCGAAATCAAATTCTCGATTGGCTTGACAAATTCGACATTTCACCAAGTCACAAGTGGCGATCCAAATATCCCGTTTGAGCAAGCTCACCATGGCCGAGACAAAGCCGGAAGCATGGCTCAAAGAGCCAAAGAAATACTTTGAAAAAGCGAGAAAGGTTAGCTCTAGTACCCCAATTTAGTAGACTACTGTTCTTTCCCACGTATATTTCTGAACTACTCACCACACCCCAAAGGCTTTCGGAGCCTGCCGCAAATAGCCCAAATACGGCTGGGAACCACAGGAGACAAAAGGAAATGTAGATTCGAAAAAAGAAGACTGCAATCTCTCTCTTTTTGCCCCTGGGCGGGAGGAGGTTCCGTCGAAAGACGCAAAACGCCACATAGGAGACATACGTGAGAGGGATGACTCCAATGGGTATAAAGAAGATGGTCCACCAGACAATGGTGCTTGTGATATTGGCTTCCAGAGGGAGACAGACCAATCCCCGGAGCGAGTCGGTGGGGAACCACTCAATGCCGTACAATGCCCAGGAAGCTAGAAACGCCGCCCAGATGTAGCATGCCAAGGATAACCAGACAATCCGCTTTCTCGCGGGAGGGTAATATCGTTGTCGTCTCTGAGATGCCACCAACAGATTGTGCACTTCCAAAGCAATCACGGCATTCACCCACAAGTTGGCTCCCACAGACCAAATGATATAAAAGCTCTGAAACAGGCACATGGATGTATATCGGTATCCCTGGTAATGGCTCAAGGCGGTGCATTGCCACGCGCAGAAATTGGTCATGATAATGTCTGGAATCATCAAGGCCATGAGGTATTGGTTAAAGGCGTTCCGTCGAGTCTTTTTGTGGAGCAAAATGGCCAGAAACACCACCAGATTTACGGTCGATAAGACGGAAAAGCCAATCGACCAACCCAACCACATCTTGGCCAGCTGTTCGTCCGACGGAGCCGCTCTCAATCGTTCCCATCGTGTGGAGTTCTCGTCAAGCTCCCATATTCGTATCGATGGATATCCCAAAGGTTTGGACACATCTTCTTCTATCAATGACGACGATGTGGTAGTTGATTTTTGGTTACCGTATCATCATTGAGTAGCCGAAAGTAGTCCATCCCTTGCCCCTAATACTTCAAGACCGAGTTGTATGGTCGGGCTGCTATAGGGGGCTAGGGGCTAGCAAGCTGGGAGGACTAAGCATTGAGGCAGAAGAGAGGAGAGGAAATGGAGGCCATCCAAGGAAACTTGAGCAGGATCAATTGGGGTAGTGGGGTGGGTGGAAGAGTAGAATGGTAGATGCTACTGTAGGACGAAGGTGCTGCGCTTCGTTGATGAGGCCGTCCTTCGACATCATGAACACAGCCGGTCAGACTGAAAATGTCGAAGAGTGGCGGCGATGAAGAGCAGCGCCCTGATCTACCATTCTATTGGCCATGCAGCTCCTGCACTTCTGGACTGTCCGACTGTTCCCCATCTTTTTCATTCGCGCTTCCCCTTTTCATGAATGGCTTGATCTTTTGGCTTGCGCGGCTCGACTTTCAGAGTGTTTCGCACAAGCCATCTTCGAAAGGAAAATAAAAGCCAACATCCTCGGACCTAAACAACAAAGAAACCTCTGCTGCCACCATGAAAGCATCTTGTGTCATTGGCGTGGGCCCGTTGGTGGGAGAACAGATCGCCCAAGCGTTTGCTCGTTCGGGATACCGCGTTGCTCTGCTCTCGTGCTGATCCGTCGATGAGCTCCATCTTCTGGATCATCGGCTGGGTGTTGGCGCCAAGGCATTCTTTTGTGATGTTAGCTACCAAGCCAAAAACGATCGGAAAGGCATTCGATCAAGTCCGGAAGCGATACAAGATTGACGAACCCGATCGATACGGTGATCTACAAAACGTTGGCATTTTGCTTCGTTCCATTCGGCCAACTCCAGCGACTTTACTCGCTGGCTGTGGGAACTTGCAACACTGGGCCACTTTCATGTGGCGAGAAAAGCGACTCTGGATTGGAGCGGCGTGGTCATGGAAATGTAGGAATCGAATCACTGGAGCAACTGCAAACTGGCGTGTTCTCCCGCAGCGAGACGTGTGCCTTGCCCCGTCAAAGCAGCCCAGCGCAGCAGTCCTTGGCTCGTGACTTTGGAACCAAGGGGATCCATATCTACTTGTTGGTGATGGGTGGTGTGATTTCGGAGAGTGGTGTTCGCAACGTGCCCTCTGCCATCGGTGCTACCCACGTCATGTTGGCCAACCAGCCAAGCTCTGCATGGACCTTTGAGCTCTACCGCACTGCGGGTCCCGGTCAGGACAAGCTCGCAGCTCTGTAAAACGACGTTTCGCCATCCATACTGCGGCGACGCAGCATAACAGAATTTAGCTCGACTCGAAGACAAATGACTTGTCACGACATTAGCTACAGCTTGCTTGAACTGAATGGTCGGGCACATCCATGGAATGCCCTGCCATCCTGGGCGCCCCAAAATATGCCATCAAAGCGACTCTTGAAATCGTCCAAGACTACAGGCACCAGAAAGTCATAGGCTCGTCGAGTAGGGTTTACACTGTCGGTTGCATCTGCGGACATGGAATCTCACGGCTAAGTGTGTACCGTATGGATTGGAGCGGACAATGGCTGATAAGCCACCCGAAACGAATACACCGTCATCGCTCCTGTGATTTTTTTCAATCCATCGAGCGTCGCTAGTCTAGATTGGCCAAGGGAAGAGTGCATACATCGTATCAGTACTGAGCGGGAGGGAACCATGAAAGGTCTGAACCGCATCAGCTTTGGTCCATCATCAAGTCGTCCGGTGACGTGCACTCGGGAAGAGAATTCTCCCAAAGCAGGTATCTTCAAAGCGTCGATGGCTGCATTGTCGAACCAAAGCCCAGACAGAACATCGGAGTTGGTGCAAAGTAGGTTCGCTATTCACGAACAAGAACAGCACCAAGTCTTGGTATCATGAAATAAACCCACCAACCACGGGGTCGCTCCGGTGGCATCACCAACCAGCTCACATTGGGTCAACGACCCCTCCCGAGGAGTAGAGGGGATAGTTGGTTCTCATAGTAGATGGGATAGTTGGTTCTCATTTGGATTAGAAGGGAGCAGTGCCGGCACCAACCTCTAGGAGTGGCCCGACGTCTTCACTGACAAACCGATTCATGCTCAATACAAAACGAACGCCATGAACAGTGTTGTAGACTGTCGCTGGATGCAAGACCATAGCGGGCAAGTTCAGTCTATCAGGTTCCAGGTTCTTCATTGCGTTCTGCGCTTGCGCATTTCAGGATAGTTCTATCGAAAGTAAGGTAACTACTGTACGATACATGTAACTTACCTACTCTGAGCTAGTACGACTACAACTACTATAAAGAATGAAGCCATGATTTTGTTGTTTGTAAAGATTGTCTACTATGTGTTATTGTTCTATGTTTATGTTTGGTTGTATTTTCAAGATTGTAGCCTAGCATCAACAATGATAGAGGTTGGTTGTCAGGTGTCACGGGTATTAACTTTGGACTTTCGTCGCGTGGAGGACGTTCGGACAAACACTCTGCAATAGAGGCCGCCTAGCACAGGAACCACAAACCTGGCTACCTTGTATGTGACCCTTCGATTAAACCAACTGTATTCATCTCCGCAAAATTGTTGTATAGCCCTGCACCCCACCAGATGCTTGCTCATTGTGTATTGTCTTCATGTGTTAGTAGTTCCCCCAATCAATTGTTGCCGCCCCACTTACCTGTTGTCCTAGACTGGAATGTACCGGTCAGGCTTTCTGACTTGCCGTCCAGAAAGAGTCGTTGTTGTCTGAACTGTTGTTTGCTGCTGTGTGTCCGTCACAGGTCGTGTTGTTGCCTTCTTCTTGCCCTTCGCCTTTGGCGTTGTCGACTTTTTCTTCTTGCTACGTTTAATTCTAGGTTGTTCTGCCACCCGCCGTGGCTTCGTCTTGACTTGTTCTGCAATTCTCTGAGATGCAATCGCCGCCATGCGTCTCTTTGATCGTCGCAAAGTTGATTGTGCTGTGTCCACATTGTCCTCCTCATCGACTCGGTTGTCGACCAGTGGTTCAACAGCACCAACTTGTTGTTGTTCCTCGACCTCGACCAGTGGTTCTTCAGCTACCACTTGGTCAGTCACGAATTCGTAATCCATCTCGTCTGAGGCAACGCCTGCCTCCAACCGTAGCGTCTTGTGCCGCCGCATGAATTCCTTGACAAGGTCTCCACCATCCTTCAACAATGCTGCGAGAATGTCGTTGGGTACCACTCCAAGTAGCACACCATTCATCATTCGCATCTCCAATACACATGGCTGTTGTCCATGCACACTGATCTTGAAGTGTTTCACATGCCACTTTTGAACGTATGGGACCACTGCTGTGCATGTGGGAACCACCGCTGCTTCGGATGTGACTGTGGCATCGGATGCCATCTTGTTGTCGTTGACGGTCGAGACTTTTTCTATTGCCTCGACGTCTTTAGTTGTTGTTGGTTGTTGATCTACTTCTACGGGTGCTGCATCTTCCATGCAGATGTCCTTGACCTTGCGATAGACAAATCGCCGCTTGGCAATCTGTTCTCGCGTATTCAAGGTGCAAATTTCGTCGTCAGCATTGCGCTGAATTCCTCCATGATGCAAGTGGCACATGGCGAGTTCGAACATGTAAGTGTTCTTTTCGTTGACCATGAACCAGTGCGAGACTTGCTTGTCGTTTCCTTTCTTCGCTTGGATGAAGCGAACAAGTCCCTCGAGGTCTTGATGCACGGCATCAATTTGAATGTACAGTTGGGCTTGTCGTAGGTATGCTTTGTCGCTTTGGAACCATTTGTTGTTGGTGATCCATTTGGTCACTTGTTGGTATCCGTACTCTTGAATCAACTGCACGAGATCCAAGACGCGTTCGTGGGGTGTGGGTGTGCCGACGGAAATGAATTGTTGTTGGGCTTCCTGCCAGAATTCGTATTGGGCCTGTGGCACATGTTTCTTCATGTCTCGATAGACACGGCTGTTTTCCTCTTGTTCGCACTTGTCAGAAGAGTACCCCACTATGGTGTTGACGGGAGCAAAGGATAAACGGTTTCCATTGCTCCGTTCGGTGTCTTGACCGTAATGGGCCTTCCAGCGAGCGTTGGCTGATTGACTGGGTTGGATGCGACAGCCTTTGGGCCGGTGCTGGTTGTACTTGTCGTATCCGTAGTGACCATGCTGATCCGAAGGAACCAGGGAAAGGTCGTAGGCACCTAGGCAGCGACCGTGCTGCTGGAACTCCACATCAGGATTCGTTCCATCTGTGTGCAACAGTGCCGCGGTTTGGACGACATCTTTGTCCAACTCGTCCAGTTGGAACTTGATTGGGACTTCCTCTGCGGCAGGAACATCCTTGTTGTTGTTGCCCCTCATCTCCTTGGCGACCTGGAGAACGGGGGTCTTCTTGGTGTCGTTGCTGTTGTTGTTGTCGGTGGTCCATGACCACGAGAGAAGCTTGATGATAGAAGAAGAAAACTTCATTTTGCAATTGATAGGTATTGAATAGAAGATTGGTAGAAAAGGCAATTGAAAGTAGGGGGGTTGATCTGGCCTAGGCTTATCAACAATCGCGAAAGTCTTCCTTGTTCGGTTGGGTATGCAACTCTAGCAATCCGGTTGAACAAAAAAGTGAGCTCATCATGGTGACATCCTATTTTCACCTCCAAAAGCGGATGACAGATTCTGCCAGATGTTGAATGACAGATTCTGCCAGATGAAAAACAACACATGATGAGACGAGACTGATCCACTGATGAGCACCAACCCAACAACACAGAGTACCGGTAGTGTTGATGATAGCTAGACGTTCGGTTATGGTTCTCGTCTGGCTTTGTCGAACGTCAACGCTGTCTCTTGCTGTTGCCGAGTGCCGAGAGCTGCGGAGCTGCGAAGCTGCGGAGTGACCTTCGTGTGACACGAAGAATGGCTCCGAGTGAGTGATCGAATCACGAATCGAATCACGAATCAAATCTGTGATCAATCAATTGTTCGAATCGAATCGAATCATTCGAATAATTCAATCGAGTCGGATAGAATTAGAATCGAATGATTGAATCGAATCGAATCGACTTCGAATTTTTCAAGAAAATTCGCATCCAAAGCTGCAATGAACAATGAACGTTCGACGATGACACCATGACGGCACTTGCAAGCCCCTTAGACCAAGCACAAGGGGAAAGTGAAGCCGCCGTATTCATGCCTCCGAATCGCCTCAGACTGAAGTTTCTCTTTTTGTTGGTTGTGAACTTATGGTTTCCAGCGACTTCGTTGTCGCCGCGCTGTCAACACCGTGCAACTACCCCGCCAAGGTTGTTTAGCTGCAGCTCGGACAAGGATTGGACGACGCTCCATAAATTCACGACGTTATCAACGCCCTGGATGGCTCTTCACGGCGAGAAGCTCTTGGATGACAAAGGCCAACAGCTTGACTACTGGAGAGTGGAAAAAGAAGACTCTGCCATTGTCGTGTCTCTTACGAGCGATGAATTTCTACTCCCAGAGCCATCGTTTCGGCCAGGAGTTGGTCGGTGTACACTGGACTTTCCTGGTGGAAGGATCCCTGCGAATACAGACTTGACCGGTCCAGAAGTGGCAGCCCAAATCGTTCAGCGAGAATTAGGTATTTCGGACGACTCTATCGTTTCCATCGCTCCCATCAACGAAAAGGGATGGCCCATCAACAGTTCCTTTTCCAATCAGCTGCTCTATGGATTTTTGGCAGTGTTAGATTTGTCCAATGATACTGTGCTGAGCCCAGGCATTCGAAAATATTCTACGAGTGCAGAGGGAATGGAAGCCCTTTTAGAGGACCTGGAATGCCTCCAGTGTCGAATGGTTCTCTTGGAGTGGATGAGACGCAATAATAGTTGATTGAAGAGAGTTTCGATAGAGCCTCCCCAACCTGCCACAGCTCATGAAGGGCAAACCACTCGTAAGGGTCCTAGCTATGCACTCGGCTTTCACAGCATTGGTTGCAAAGAAGGAATTTCAGAAGGAGAAGGCTAGAGCACGTCAAATGGTACCCGCACCCCTGACCCCTGCCTACGGGATCTCGCTGCCCGTATTGTCTGATGCATTACGATTCCAGTGGTGGCAATTGAGCAATTTCCATTATTGACCAAAATTTAGAAGTAGCTTCATGGTAAGATCTTTTCCTTAAACGCACAGAACTCAAAACGACAGTGTAGTCTCTCCAGCTTCCACACTTGGCCGCAGGAACATGGAATCAAGAGTTCCTGCATCAGTACCGTAGAGCAATGCAGACACCAATAGATTCAGTAGCTACCGGTAGGAAGGGCTGGGGAATTTTGACGAAAAGCTAGTGCATTCGATTGTGGAGCTCCAACCCAGCGCTACGCACCTATTTTAAAATAGCGAGCTAGCAAGCAACTAATGAAAGCTACTGGTATGGTAGAGAATGTAAGAGTTTTCACTCCGTTCGAAGGAAGGAAGAAATAAAGCTACCAAGACTCAAAGCAAGTCCAAATCTGGCTTGTTGGCTGTTGCCAATGGTTGGTACCAAAGCCAACGGAGGTATAATCAATCTGTGCCGGGCGGGCGGGTGTCGCATCAGCCCTACCTGTGGAAAGTATTTTGAAGAAAGCAAAGCAAAAAGTGGTCTGCGTCTTGGTGCCGCCTTTCAGACCTACCTCCAACCTCCCAGCACCCAGCGCTGTCAAGCTGAGTGAGTCTTCAGTCGAGTGACAATCGAAGCTACCCCAGCCATTTTTTTATTAATTAAAAGAGCTAATAATGAAGCATTCGCCCTGGATAAGCTCCTGCATAGCAGCTGCGTACGGTAGCTACGATACTTGCGGTGTCATTATTTATTTGGCGAGGTGCCAAGTCCATTTCGGAGGGAGCACGTGCCTCAATCAACTTACTATTTCCGGCATCACTTTCAGCTACATGTTAGCACGGTCTTTTACCTTCAGCGATGCTACCCTTTCAGCATCACCACCTGCTTTACCACACTTTACCAATCTATGCGGGAAAACCCGCGCATAACACTAGGTACACGTAGTCAAGTAAGTGTTGCTCCCGCTAGAATTCGGTCAACTTCAAGGTTCTGATGGATCTGCGTGCACAAAATAAATGTCAAAAGTGTACGTCCGAAAGCTACCGTATGCTACAGATTCGCTTCACCTCAGCTTTTGAGAAGTTGGGCAAGTTCAAGTACGTGAACGATCTGGGAGGTCTGCGAGGAGGTTCTTTATCAATGAAGAGGGCATCATGAAATGGATTTGATTGGCCGAATGCTTCTGGAGATGGCTTGCGTCAGAGAGAAACACTGTCTAACAATCGTACTGAAATCACACCTTGGCAGCAAAATTCTGTGAATAAGAATTTGTAGCCAAAGGATCGAGGACAGCGTCCATCATCAAGACAATCCTCATTTCTCTTTCTCTTTGTTGGAGTGAGAGTAGAGTTGAGCTAGCGATCGACCAGCTGCCAAGTCGGTGACATCCAGCAATCAAGAAGCAAAAGATAAGAAGCAGGTACCATTTGTAATCACGACAAAAGAGAAAGATGGAACTAGTACAAGAGTCACCCGGGAGGAGCAGGTTAGAAGAAGTTGTGACGGATGAGTTTCTAGCTGAAGTGGTTGGATCTACCGTTGTAGGAGAGGCTGTGGCTGCCACCAGTATTGATTTTCCACTTCCCTCCACTATTGAAGCTGCTACTGGTCTGCTGGGAGGAGAATTGGGAGACTATGAACTGAATGGTGAGTTAGGTTTGTAAATAAAGATGAGGTTTGGTGGAGATCGAGGTACCGATACTAGTGCTGGTGGAGCCCGTTACTTCATCCGCCCGATAATGAGATTTCCCCTCATCTGATTTGTTTTGCTCACAAACATTATTTTGTTCTCCCCTTTCCATTTCCAACACCCCAGAGTTTCCTTCCTTCTTCAATGTTGATTCACAAGAAATGAGTGCTGATTTGGAAAAGCTTGGCCTGGAAATTGCAGCTGAGATTTCGGTACCTTCATCATATTCTGCGATACCATTTGTCGTCGATGGCCAGGATCACATGGATAACAGCAGCAAGGATACCGATACTGCAGAGGAAAGCAGTCCAGGTCCAGCCAAGACAACTTCTGTGGCTGTGGCTACAACAACACCCAACACGGCGGCCAAGAAACGATCTGCTGCAGAAATTTCCGAAGACGAAGATGCGTCAGCTGCATCCACGCCTACCCCTAATAAGGCTACCAGGAAGCAGACTGCTCGAAGGGTAACTCGAAGTGCTAGTAGCACAAGTAACTCGCCGATCATGCCCGTACCAGTGGCATCAGATGATTCCCCAAGAACAACCCCCACAAGGGGAAGATTATTGGCTCCCAAGCCGACATCACCAGCTCCCCGCAGAGTCAGTACTGCTGGTTGTGCTACTACTAGCATAGATACTGCAACAAATGGATCCATCACGGTGCATGGTGGTCGTAGGATTGATACTTCCACGGCACATGTCAAAGCATTGACAGGTACCAAGGGTGCTGCCATGTGCTATGAGACTGTTTCGGGGACAGATCTGGATACCACGGTTGCCATTCCCAATTTGGCCGTGGCAGATTCCTTGTCCGCAGAAGAAAAGGCTAAATTTAGTCGCGATCGCAATCGACTGCATGCCAAAAATACACGCATCCGCAAAAAGGCCTATGTGGATGAGCTCAAGAAGACATTGGACGTACTGGTAAAGGAACGAGATGTGGCCATTGCCGCCAAAAAGTCCAAGGGGACCATTGAAGCGGAAGAGCGGGATGTTCGTTTCAGAGTGGTGCAAGAGTTTTTGTGTTTACGAGGAAGCAATGTACAAGCGCTTGCTCGATGGACAGCCATTTTGGAAGAGGGAGTCACACTCTGCATGCCCAATATTGACTGGAATACGACAACTAGTGGTGGCCAGGGAAGAGGGGAGCGCACCAATCCTGCCACCAAGAGGATGACAACAGGCGTCAAGGAACTGATGAAAGAGTGCAACGAATTCAACAGTCAATTGAAGAATGGGCCACTCACTTATCGATGCGATAGATCGACACTTCTCATGGAGGGGTCCACGGTAGTAATCGATTGGACTGCCACTTCAAGAGATCCAAAAAATTTGGTAAGTGCCTTTCTCACTGACAAATTAACTGCTGGTACCCAAAATGGAGAGAAAATTGCTAACTTTCCTAACATTTTTGTGTTGTAGCTGAGCATGCGAGGAACTTGCCGCGCAAGCTTCAACCCACAATCCAACAAGCTTCATGCTGTAGAATTGTTCTTTGACAGCACACCTTTATTTGGAAACAACACATAAGCGTTGCCTATGATTCGGCAATTGACCTGCTTCTCCCAAAGCAAAGACTTCAGCAGATCACAGGGAACTCCAACAGACAACAAAATGAAACGTTTTTTCGCGATTTCGTAACACACAGCTTGGAGCTCTCCAGTCAGTACATCATTCCACTCATCCCTAAATTTTTATACCTTTCATCCGAGCAAAACGAATTCAATCAAGCTACAATCAAGTAGCAGCTAACATTGCTTCCAAATGAGAATTCACAAACCTGTTTGGCTTCACAACATAAGTGTATACATTTTTTTAAATTAATTTTAATGAAAAATATAAAAAAGAGGTCAATTACTCCGAGTGCCTACTTTTTATTTTATTGTCTCCATTGTTGGCATCCTCAGAGTCCTGCTGGATTTTACACTTTGGCAGAGCAGTTTGAACCAGCCAATGAGCGAGTCTAGTGATAGATGATGCATTGTTCTAGACCGTCGCACATAATTTTGGGCTTCTGAAGTCCCATCAATTAACTCAATTCATCCCTTTGGAAGAAACTCTTTCCCACCAAAAGGTGGTGGTGGGAGTTACGAGTACCGCTTCCCACTTCGGTGGTGGAACCGCGATTCAGACATCCGTGCCAATCAGGAGACGGAACACCGTTGGATCCGAATGATGATCTTCGTTCATTCACAGTTGGTTCAACGCCGGTTCCGTGGCTTGCTTGCGTGTGTGGCCCAAGCATGACTCGGACTCGGACATCAACCATCCAAATGGCTGGGGAGGACTATTTTGTAGCGTTTGCTTCTCACAACTATCGAACTTGAAACATACAACACCTCAACAACTCTAACTACACACACTTTTGAAAGCAATGGCATACATCGAACTGAAACCATTGACGACACCTGCTTACACAGGAGACATAAATCAATACATGAAAGATCTCGTCTTCACATTTCCGCGAGACAGGGTTCCGCTTCTGTTGGAAGGACGTTTAACTCTGGGAGCATGGATGTCTACCTACGACAACCTGCTGGAACGATATCGATTAGCAATGGAAGATTGTGATGAATGTATTCAAAAACATCGATGGATGATGGCTCCCTTCGTGTTGCCGTGCTTGATACCAGTCTTTTTCCCATTCATGTTCTACTCTTTCTCCAAGATTTCACAGAAAGCCCGAGACCATGAGCAAGCCTTTGTACAGCTGGCTGAAGATCAAGCAGACATCTATCAACAATATGGGATACAAGTCACTCTTGCCAAAGAGCTGCGGAGATATGGATCGGACGATGGAACTCCAACCCGGCAAAAGAATCTGAAGGATGTCATCGTAGGACTCAGATTTGATGTTGGTTCCTTGGCATGGGACCCTTGTTTCAGTGCCAACGAGCAGCGGTTAACCCAAAACCCAACCGACATTCCGGGACGCATTCCTCTGTCTTTGTAGACCGAGGCAATCCTGCTGGTGGCACCTGTGTCTCCAAAACTACACCGTCATAAGAATAGACTATAGAATATCCCACTACATAGACTCATCAAAGCAAGCATGACTGGATCCAACAAAGCAACGGTAGCTTCCCAGCAGGGCTTCGTTAGCCATTTAAGTTTTTTCTTTAACTGATATCGCTCCTGGCAACGCGATTAACTATAAATTCCGCGTGTTTGGCACAGACTCGGTGCTTGAATTGGACTCCATCTACATAGTATGACACGTTCTTCGCCGGCTGCCATGTGTTCACCATGTGACACAGCTCAGAGCCAACCCGTTGACATTCCTGAACTAGCTGGGATTGAAATTGGTCCGGTGAATAGTCGTCTTGCCCTTGTCGGCTGCCTAGCGAGAACGAGATTAGTCGCAGCCCAACGGATTGACTGTAAAAAGTCGCTTGGTCGACGTTTCGGATCTCAGCCATGATGGCCAAGGGGCGCAAAGCCAACAGGCTTCGTGTGTTCTTGTACACATCGTAGAATGTAGGCTGTATGAGAATGTCGATTGTCAGAAAGAATGGCTCACCTTGCCGCACCTGGGGCACCTGGAACGGATGCGTAGATCGGTAGTGAGTGATGGCACCAACTCGATCAGGATAGCGTTCACGCTCCTGGTTTTCCCATCTCAAAATGTAGTCATCATTGGGCACTCCGAGATACTCTTGAAGGAGATGCGTCATGTTTCGTTCAAAAGCTGCAAAGGGAGGTTCTCGATAGCGGCCTTCTTCCTTAAAGCAGTCCCAGTTACTTTCTCGTTCATTACTGCCGAGATGTAAGAAGCGAGTTGTCGTGAAGATCTCCATCATTTCTCGAACCACGGAGTAAGCTACCGGCAGAAACTCTTTTCTGCCCACATCATTTGGCGCCACCCGCTTTGACCCACTGAGCATACAGAACTGCTGTGGACAGTTGATCATGTAACCACCCTCGACCCAGCCACCCGCATTGGTGGAAAGAGTGATTTCCGGAAAGACCTCTATTCCAAGATCTCCAGCTACCTGTGACAGGGAAGCAAACTCTTGCGCCGAAGGCATTGGATTGTAAAAGTTTGCCAGGGGAGAGGATCCAACCCGCGAAAGGTTGTCCAGCTTTACGGAAAACGCATGGTTATCGGCCAAACGCAGCTGCACAAGTCGAATGGAAAGTGGTGCAATGTACTTTTTCAGAATGTCGATTGTATGATTGACAGGTACCATGGAATTGACAAGATCAAAAATAACACCCGTCGTGGTCGATTGAGGGTCCAATGGCGGAAACTCCTTCGTCCGGTTGGCCAGAGGCTTCTTGAATGTCCTCCAAAAGTGTTTGTTCGCCTCATGAAACGTTGTCAGGGCGTTGGCATTGATTTTGGGCATGCCAAAACGAGACACAGGTTTGGTGAGCCGATTGCACAGGTTTTGAGTCCATTCCTGCCAGGTCTGTTTCCACTCTCGTTGATACCGCGAGTTGGAAACGGCAACATATCCCTGAAGGTCACAAACATCCTCGGACAAGGCCATCGTCTCTCGGCAAGTGGAGTTGTAGAGTTTCCAAAAGTTGGAAGATGTCGTCGTAGTAGAGGTATTGGCCGTGGCACCCATGGCCACTGCAATCAGCCGGGCCATGACGTTGCGATGTCGGAAAAAGTCGACACCCAGTTCTGAAGTGCCAACGACAAATCCTTTTGGTTGGAGCTTCATTCCTTCCACGGTAGCGTTGTAGATGTGTTCCGCTCCATTGTTATGATTGGCATCCATGTTCAGACCCGTCGAGACAAAGAAAGGCTGCTGCTGATCAGGACTGGTGGGCAGTGTCTGCCAATAGTGTTGAATGGCACCAGTGCGACGCAGAGTAGTATTATCGTTTTGTTGGCTGTGTTTGTGTTCGGGGTCTGTTGCCTCCCACCGAAGCACTTGTGATGCGGGATACTTGAGATCCTCCAGTACATCTTGTAGCAACTGCTCAAAAGGACCGTAGTCAAAGGGTTGCCGATTCAATTCATGAAAGCACGGCGAGGACAGGAACAATTCGTTCCCGCCAAGATGCAAAAAGGGCGGATCTCCAAAGATATCCAAAACTTCTCCAATGACCCCCTTGAGGATGGTCTTGAGCTCTGGATGTTGTACATTGAGAGGAATGGCATACCCCTTGTTGCAGACAAATTCGGGGCAATTCACCACCAAATCTGGAATGCCCGCCCAAGCTCCGGCGTGACCGGGTAGGTTGATTTCCGGTATGATCACAATGTCATGTGCCTTGGCAAATGCCACTAGATATCGAAGTTCTTCGGGAGTATACACTTGGGAATTGGCAGTGGGATTGGTCTGAAAGGGCAATGCTTCTTGTTGTGCATCTACCTGGGGCTTTCCATTAATCTCGGTATGGATGACTGCTTCTTGGGGGGAAGGCTTTGGCCTTTTGGAGGAGCTGGGTATGGCGGCACAAGAAGGAAATGCCAGTTGCGGATAGGACTCTAGCTGTAGTGCAAATGCTTGATCATCGGTCAATCGAAAGTGGATCGTATTGAAGCGCAGCCGATGCAAGTAGATTATGAATTGCTGGAGCCAGGGAATGGAAAAGTAGTGGCGTCCTGCATCTACCATTACCCCCAAATAGGGAACCTGGGGGGAAAATGGCACCCGAGCATCCGGTTGTTGTATTTGAGCGAGTGGATCCTGTTGCTCTCGAAATGCCAAATCCGAAAATCTCTCTTCCGCACGCCAATAGCGTCGTTCGGCGTCTCGGCTGGGAAAGGACATGTGTTCATAGTCTTGTAGATTAGTTCTAGTTTTGCTCTTGTGGTTCGTTGTCTCGCTGGTCAAGGAACCATCATGTTCCTTTTTGGGGTGCAGTTGCTTGGCCCGTTCTCGTGCTTTCATCTCACGATCTTTGTTGTTGTGCGTATGGTGATTTCTCTTGAGCCGTCGATGCCATGGAAACTCCTCTTTGCTAAAGAGAGCAGTAGCGGTAGTAGTAGTGGCAGTATCATCATCATCATCAGTCATCTCATCTTCTTTGAAATCATGATTATCATCATTATCGTCATCGTCATTATGGTTATCATTGCTTTTAACCTCAGAAGCGCCATTGTCAAGATTTTGGAGAAGATACTTGTACAGTTTGGATTGCCAATTGGAAGAAGAATACAGGGAGCCTTGCGCCACGGCATTGTTAAGAAGGTGACCATCGGGTGGTGCGGTTGTCGAGGAGGTGCCTGCCGCTATGAGTGCTGACAGCACCATCACCCAACCACTGGTCCATAACACTACACGGAAGCGATAAGTGCTGCTGCTGCTGCTTTCATGGTGAGAGCTGGATACAGCGGCTTGGGTCGTCATCGTGGTCGGCGTGGTTTATGGATGTCATTTCATCACAGATCGATCTTCGCGCCAAAAGGCAAAAATCAAGAGTTGCATTCGAGTCACGAATCCAAACACGAATCCAAGCTTGGGCTCGCTCGCTCATGCCAGACGGGGGTTGCCTTGATGACAAGATGATGACAAATGACAACACCCGACAACAGCAACGGGTGTCTCGCTGTCTCATCTCCTCACTCGAAGTTTGCATCCTCCTCGGGTTGGTTTACGTCTGTGTATTTCATCCTTTCGGTCTGTATAATTCACAATCACGACACAGCGACTTGATTGCGCCAATCGTCGTCAAAACGTTCCCGACAAGTGGTTGCAGTTGAAACCACCCCCAAAACCGCCCACGGAAACCACTCCCTCTGTTCCGTTTTCATTTCACCACGAGACGACTGCCACTGCCACTTCTCTCATGATCATGATGAGCTCATAAATTGGAATCTGCTTTGCAAATCAACATGTAGTGGGCACCCAGGGCCTTCCTGGCTCTGATAGGTGTACCGCATGACTCTTTGCTTTTTTGACACACTGCCGTAAGTGTGGGGCAAGATGGTCCACAAAAGGACTGGTTTGTAACATTCTGCCAAGAGACTCATCCGCAACACTCCAATGGAGGTTGGGCGAGGTGGTGAGCTGTAGGCAATGGAGAAGGCAGCACTCAGCGGCTGTGCTGAGTGACTGGCACTTCTTTCTGTTCCATCCAAGATGATGGAGATGTGTTGGAAATCCTGGTGAGGTGATTGTGGGTTGGCTTCGGTGGAGGGAGTCCAAAGCAACTCTGAGGTTCTGGCACCCCCAAAATGGGGGTGATACTGGTTCCCGAGAGTAAGTGAAAACGACACTTGTTACCAATATTCTGGGATTTGAACTCCGTGCAATAGTGAGCCTGTGAGATCCATTCTGCTACCAGGCGTGACAGGAGCAGATTGGATTCTCATGTAAAGGTTACAGCGGCACAGTGATGGGCAGATTGAACCTACGGGGTCATTCTGCGGCTGTGGGGCACAAAATGCTCAGACAACTACAGTAGCTTCCTTTTTATCCAAACTATAAAAACTATAGAATCAATCAATCAAAAACAAAACCATCTCTTTCTCTAGTAGTCTTCACAATAGCTAGCTACATGGAACGTTCTCTTTCGCATGTCGTCTTGATGTATGCGACGTGTGAAAAGCCGGGTTTCCACCAGAAGAGAACGTCATGTAATATTATCATAGTGAATGCGCCCCTCTTTGAAAACGATAGACGTGTGATGTTGACCAAGTGCTAGGAAAACACGTTTTCGTGGTTTGGCCCAAGAGCAAAGAAAGGCCCTGGCTAAAATAGATCTCGAATTGATAAAGTAGTTCACTTTGGAAGAATTATGTCAAGTTTCCCGGATAGCCCCATAGAGGAGGATGCTAGTCCTGGAAGCAGCGGGGTACGGTGCAGTACAGCCTTTAGAATACCGTCATGTATTTGGTTTGGCGCGCTTTACCGGTAGCCAGGTTTCAACAGCCAGAGCGGAGCAAAGAAAGACAAGCTCCAGAATCTTCGGACTTGCCAATCATTTTCAACACCTGAAAAGCCAGAGCCACCGGATCGTACTGTGACCCTTTTCTTCAGACGATTGCAAAGGAGCCCCGGAAAATCGTTCACGAGCCGCATGCTTTGGTGTCCAAGGACACGGCAGCTGTGGTGGCTCGGAACAAGTAGAATACTTACACCGCTGGTGACCGCCAAGCAGCTCTGACCGCTTTTTGATTTCGGAGAAATCCTTGAAAGGCGTCAATTTTTACCGAGCACCTCTCCAAAATACCTTCTGTTCACAGTGGTTAACGCTGTGACCACCATGAACCCTCAAAAGTTCCGGAGCATAAATTTAGAAGCTGGGTCGCTGGGTCGCTCTCTTGCCTTACCGACCGTAATGATTAATCACTACCGGTACGGTTGCACCACTTCACTCGTCGCCACAGAAAATAATGAACAACCCCATTGATAGGCAGCAGATACCACCACTGGACGACCCAAATGGAGAGGAAGAAGAAGAAGTGGAAGAAGTTGAGGGTGGCGATGAGCATCAGCAGCGGGTTGAAATTCAGATGCCCAGGCCGGTGCTGGGACAGGATGACCCAAAGCGCATGGTGCTGACCCAACAAGAGCATGCTTGGGCCGTGGAAATCAAAGAGGCTGTGGAAGATTTTGCAGATGTTGACAATTACTCAGATTTCTTCTATGCCCAGCTGGCTTTGATACATCAAGATGATCTGGAAGGAGCTCTAGAAAAGGCACTGAGACTCCAGCATATACGAGAAGAATACGATATCAGACCCACTTTTGAGGACTCCTACAAGGCAATGAGCCAGTTTATTAAGCTATACCCGGGGTACCTTATATCTTGCTCATTTTCCGACTCCGATGGAGGATATGTCATGGTTGTGGATGCAGCCAAAAAGCCAACTGCTCGATACATCAAGACACAGCCGGGTGGGATTCCCTTTTTCTTGCAGAGCATCTACAACCTCTTCCAGATCGTCACACCAGACTTTGAGTCTACTAGAGTTGGTTTGATAGCCCTCATTGAATGTCAGGATGAGAAGATGGAATCTGGAAGGGGAGATTGGGCACTGATTCAGGAGATCTGGACAATTGTGATGAATTATCCAATGAAACTCAAGCAAATGAAGCACTTTCATTCGGGATTAGGTGCCAATCTACTGGTATCCGGATTGAAACGATTCCTGCCAAAGAGCTTCAAGGAAAAGTTTGAGATGGGTTGTTCCACTGGAGCAGGAACTCTTGATTCCATGTTCCTGCAGCCAACTTTGGAAGCTGCAATGGACAGACTGTTGCGTCGATTTGAGGCTTGTTTGAGGAAGAGATTCTACCATGAAGCTACTTTCAAACTGTAAAAATGGCAAATTGGCAACCCCTCCGAGCATTGGAAGGAGCTACCCTGTCTACAACTATACTTTGCTTGGGTACGGTTCTGCCCGATAGCATGGGGTACCGACAAGCTAGTCGGTAGGTAGGATTTCACACTGTACTAACACACCGCATCAAAACGTTGCTAACGTCGTGGGGACTGTCTTGTACCAAGAATGGACTTCTCGTCGACCATACAGCTACTTGATTCGTCACAGCCTTCCATTAGAGCACGTCGGTGCGTTCTTAATGGTTGAATCTTCAATCTCTTGGCCAGACAGAAAACCCGCAGTCAGATTTCCAACAGATTGATGCCATATCGCTCGTCATGAAGCAACGCCATTTTGTGACCTTTTTTCTAGCTCTTTTTCACTTTCGAGACATGGTGGCGTCCTTGGTTAGATTTAGTTTTTCCAGGCTCGAGAGGAGGCGTCCACAAAGAATATTTTTACTTTGTCTTGTGGTGTCAAAAACAACAAAACTTGCTCGGGTCCACATGCGCGGTCAAGGTCGAATCTTTTCCTTTGAAGCTGACTCGCACACATGTGTCCTCGAAACAGAGAAAGAAGGGCAAAGCACGGGAACGACATGTAAAATGGCACTTTTATTAGATAATTATATGAAACACTTGAAGGATCCGCACTGCCACGCCTTTTCTCTACGCGATAGCAGGCAAAAACGCAAAATATTTACACCCGAATGGATGGATGGTGGACTTGGATTGCTCGCTTTCTTGGTCTATCAAAACTTTTAGGCATCCTTGTTCTTGGGCTCTGTTTCAATATCATGAACTTCGAATCGGCCAGATTTGTTGCAAAGTTGGTCCAACTCTTCCTCGACACCAACGACTGGCTTGTCGAACAGGTGCAACTGGTTGAGGCCCCCATAGGAATGTGGTGGGACAGTGTGTTGAACTTCAATACCATCATCGTTTTGGTATCCTGAAGCAATGGATTGCATCCCTCCAGCGGGCTGCCTTGCGGGGGAATCTTGCGTATTGTCCTGGATAACATCTCCACTTTCGGTGGTAGTAACGTTTCCAGAATTTGGTTTTGCAACAGATGCTTCCACCTCGACCGGTTGAGCACCGTTTTCGACATCAAAGAGTTCCTTGGGATGCGTGACGATTTGTTGCTTCAAGATTCCATGGTCTCCCGTTCGATGCAATCTTCCGTGACTCTTGTGTGGGACATTCACCAACAAGACTCGCTTGCCCGCCTTGGCAAAGCGATGAGTGATGCCTCCAATAGCGGCCACGGCCGAGTGATCAATAATCAAAGCATCCTTCAAGTCAATAACGACCGTGTCGGGATCACTAGCAATGTTGAAGAAATTGATAAAATGCCTTGCGGAACCAAAAAAGATGGATCCCTTGACATGCACATACTTGACGTCAACGACTTCTTCTTCTTCCTCGTCGTCATCCACATAGTTCTTGTCCACCGATTCGGCATTTTCTTCGTTGCGACTGACATTGCGACTGGCGCTGCCCTTGCTCTTCTTGACCGACATGGGTTTGTAAGAGATATCGGCATCGACGTGTGACCCCGAATCCCATGCATGGACGAGTGCCGAAAAGACAATCCCAGCTCCAATGGCAACGGCGAGATTGAAAAATACGGCAATGAGTGTGACGAGTACAATGACCCCACTGTCAGAGAGCCGTCCGTATCGTAGAATTTCAAATGTCTTCCATTGAAAGGTGGATAGTACGACCATGAATAGCACTCCCGTCAAGGTAGAGACTGGTAGCAGTTCAATAAAATCGGAAATGGCAATGACGAAAAGCAGCATGAAAAGCCCCGACATGGTAGATGACACGCGATGACGGGCTCCATTCATAATGTTGATGGTAGATTGTCCAATCATGGCATCTCCTCCCATGGCTGTAGTCAGTCGTCGTAGAATAAAAAAGATCATGAAGAATATTCACGCATCGACAAGTGGAGACGGGGAAAACAAATTGGAATGGTCAGGTAATGCACAACACAACAACAAAAATCAAGAATATTTATTGCGCCACTTCTTCTTTTCTTACCTCGAAACAATCCCGAAACAAAATTGGCCAATCCTTGTGCAAACAATTCCTGATTGGAATCACTCATTTTGGGCACGGTATCGGTAATTTCATGACACGCCTGCAGTGTGAGAATGGACTCGACACCTCCAATGGCGGCGAGTGTCAATGCGTATTGTGCAATAATCCCAATCGTCTTGGAATCGCGCGGCACAACAGGCCAATCAAACTGGGGAAGTGATCCACTCATTTGTGCCGTTTCTTGCACGGTACGAGTAGCGACTCCAAATCCTCTTCGAAAGAGCGTATGCTCCAAAAGTGTTCCCACCAACAATCCCACCAACGATGCTGGTACGATGCGTCCCAATTTGGGAATGAGTGGAAAGAATTTCATAATTGCCATACAGAGTCCGACTTGTACCAGCGACAGAATAAGTACCCACGTATCATCTTGAAACGTCAACCATTGACGTTGTTCCAACGAACAATCGACAAAGAGTGGTTCATCATCGCATTTCATAAAGGCGGGTAATTGTGCCATGAAAATGATAATGGCGAGCGCATCCATGAATCCAATCAATCCAGTTTCTGGAATAAGTCGAACCACTTGTGCCAATCGTAACCACGCAAACACAATTTGTGCAATGCCACACCATACCATGGTCATGTAGAGTACATTCAAGCGTTGATCCATGGGTAGATAATCCAAGACACCATTGTCAATCGTCAAATCAGCCACGACGACTGCCAACGCTCCGGCGGCTCCAGAAATCATTCCCGGTTTACCACCTAGAATACCGGTAATGGTGGCCATCCAAAAGGTCGCATGCAATCCACTCAATGGTGGAACACCGGCCACAAAGGAAAAGGCAATCGATTCGGGGACTTGCATAATGGCCACGGTGAATCCACTAATGACTTCGTCGTAGAGAATCTTGGGATTGGTCTTGTAATACTCGAATGTTTCCTTCATGAATCCGACACTCCATCGAGGACATCCACAGACGGCACGCTTGGCAATGCCGAGTTCATGGCCTACCAGACGAGCACCAAAACCAAATAATTTGGGGATAAACGCGAGAAAGGGATCGCGATCGGTACTGTCGTATGTTTGCTGTTGAATGTGAGATCGTGTGGGAATCTCGGTAGGAACACCGCCGCCAGTAGCGGTCACAGTAGGTGTGCCCTTGGACGATCCTGCCGTCTCCTTGTCCGTGCTGTTGTTGGCGCTGCTGTTGGGAGCGTCCATTGTTAGGGTTGTTCCTGGCATTAATAATGGACCGTTGAATAACTATATTGGTATGCTACCACAACAATCACTTGATGGCTCTACTAGTAGAGTTCTCAATAGCCAGCTAGCTAGGGTAGATAATATCTTTGGAAAAGATAATCAATGAGACGCTTTCCCCAGATTGATGGATTGATGGTGTCTTTTGGAGAAACAACTTGATGCGACTCTTCCTTGTCCGGCTGCGCTTTCTCTGTCTGTCTCTGGTTTGGTTGGTGGAGGCTTGCTTCGGTTTTCGATATTGCAGCTTGGCATTGAGAAAGAATGGCGTCATTTGTTCTCTCACGTGTCCCACTTACGACTACCTTAACTAAATTCATCGAGCCAACATCACAACATCTTCCGTCTTGAAGAAAGGATAGAGCATGCCGTGCAAATGGGTGCTCTTTGAGAACCGTTGAACCAGTTCCGGCTCTCGCGTGATGGTGTTGTTAGTGGATATTCGAGTCGAATCGAACCAGTATTCGAATCGAAACAACTCTATGGATGCAAATCAAATCATTCGACCGCGACGGGCTGGCGTGCACCTCCGCGGCGAAGGAATTGGCTTTTGGATTCTCATTCGGATTCGCAACCAGCTGTCCACCTGCCACCTGGAGTTGCGGGGAATGGGCTTTCCCTTCACTTCGTTCCTATGGGTCAAACTGCTAAATTGGGTTAATAATCCACTTTGAGTCATGCTTCAGATTGGTCTTCTTCCAGATTACGTCATTCTTCCAGATTACATCACGTATGTTATTCTTTTAAGTTTAATTTCCAGATTGCGTCATTCTTCTTTTTTCAGTCATTTTTCCAATAGAAATCATTAAGAACCTGCCAAGCAAGAAAAACAAGAATTCCCGCAACTTTACTGAATTATGCAACAGTGAAGATGAGGATGGTACACGTCGTAGTTTTATTTCATCAAAGTTTCCTGGAGGTACCGGTTTATTAAAATGGTGGTACCGGACTTCGTGCGAATGAATTAATTCGTTGTTGCGTTTGGCAAGAGGATAATAAGTAGCCGTTCCACATGATTCGATTCAGGCACAGTTCCGGTAACCGGGAGCAATAATATGGCAGTTATTTCATCAGAGAATTCGGGGTCTTCAAAGAGTACGAAGAGTCAAAAGCCAGTAGAGTATTATGGTACCAGAGATACCAGAACACCAGAACCGCCGGAGCCCGCCACCGACGGTACCGGTATCGGTTGTGGAACGCTGCTCACTGGTGGTAGAGAAATCACAGAAGCAGCAGCCCAAGCAATAAAGGCTCGAGCAAGAGTCCAAGAGTAGGTCATTAAAATCCTTGTTGGGATGTTGGAATCGTCTCAGTTTTTTGGAGATAGACCCCCTGAGCCAAACTATGCCTCACCGTGCCAATGGCAACATCGTTGACAAGCTCGTAGCCAAAGGGCATATCCCTCTTCAGCATAGTGGCAGTATTCTGACAGAGGAAACAGGTACCGGTACGAGAGAGAAAACTTTGGCAGAAGGACATGCTCGCAATTGCAAGGACATGTCTGCTTCCAAGGCCGTTGAGAACCAGGACAGTAACGGTACAGGCGAAGTCGTTGCCATCGGAATGGAAACCCTACGGCAACGCGCTCCCGAAGTTTTCATTGCCGATGATGGCGTTCCTGGTGCATACGCACAAGCAACGGACCTTGGCCACAGTCATGTTGCCGGTGACGGCATTCCTGGCGCATACGCTTTCGGTGGGATAGGTGATGAGAGCACCGAACAAGAGACAGACCTTGACCAAAGTCACGGTGTAGCACTACCAGCACCCAACAACAACACCGGAATCCCCAGTGCGACCCCAGTGGAGGATCTCGAGAGGGCTGAGGAGGTTGTTGGGGGTCGCATTGTGCCAGCAAGAGGTTCTGATAAGATGGAATTCCCGTGGGCATGGGGGTTCTGGCTGCTCCTAGTTGTGGTTGTAGTTGTTATCCCAACAGTCCTCGTACGAGAAGCTGAAGACGGCAGTGTTGCCCAAGCAACTTCATCATCGCCATCTTTTGCCCCCTCACCATCTCCAACAATTGTTTTTATCCTTGACCTACCAATGCACACAAAAGAAGCCATACTGGATGATCCTGAATCGTCACAGTTCCAGGCCTACCAGTGGATTCAGAATGATCCAAACAGGAAGAACTACACCCAAGGCAAGCTGATGCAACGTTTTGTCCTTGCCACATTGTATTATGCTACAAACGGAGATGACTGGTTTGGGAATGACAAGTGGTTGAATTATGATGCAGATGAATGCCACGATTGGTTCAACCTGGCCTCTCTTCCACCACTGTACTTTGATGTGTGCACAACTGAAGGTGATTTCAATGCCTTGGTGCTTGTACACAACTCCATGAAAGGTACTCTTCCACGGGAGCTTGGCTTGTTGACTGGTTTGCAGGCTCTCATTTTGGGGGATGGTTTCTTGAATGGGCCTATTCCTTCGGAGATATGGGAGCTCCCAATTCTTTGGGTATTGGCTGTCTATCGCAATCAGTTAACAGGCACTCTCCCCCCAGAAGGCATGGTTGCAGCACAGAGCAGCAAAAGTTATCTGGATTTGGCTGGCAACCAACTAAGTGGCAGAATTCCATCGGAACTCGGTCTCTCTCGGCACCTGTCGCATTTTAGTGTTGGAGACAACCAAATGACAGGGACACTTCCTGAAGAATTGGGCAACATTGCTACTTTGGAGTACCTGGGTTTAAATGCAAACGGTTTCACAGGTACTATCCAAGGGAGCCCCTTCCAGGGCTGGGGCAATCTAACACATCTCTTCTTGAGAGACAACTTGTTCACAGGACAATTCCCAACGGAAGTTGGGTTGCTCACAAGCCTGGAAGAACTCTACATTTACAACAACTCTTTCTCTGGCAGCCTCCCATCGGAGCTTGGCAATCTTGGTGGGAAAACGCTGCGGAGGATTGTTGTGTCCAACAACATATTTAATGGCAGCATTTCTGATAGCATATGGCATCTCTCTGGTCTGGAGGAGCTTCAGGTAGATCTGAACTTTTTCACAGGAACTCTTCCCTCTGATTGTGGTGTCACCCTTGGTAGTGCCTTGAGAATGTTTGATGTGGCTCTGAATCAATTTCATGGAACCATTCCTTCTTCCATTGGGCTGTGGACTGACTTGCGCAGGCTAGATTTGCGTGGCAATGATTTTGAAGGGAGCCTGCCCTCCGAAGTATGGCAAATGTCATCACTCCGAGAGTTGTGGGTGGGAAGCAATTTGAAGGGGTATATCCCACCCAATGCCAGCTTTCCAGCCATGGAAGCTTTTAATTTGTCTGGTTCAATGATTAGTGGCACTATCCCCAACCAACTCTGCAACAGCAGCAGCAAATTGGATGTGCTTGATTATTCCTGTTCAGAGATTCTCTGTGGCTGTGATTGTCCTTGTGGACGCTGAGCTATCTAGACAGTGCTCACCAACCAACGCTGCAGGCAACAGCCTGTCTTCGGTTTTGTCCTTGAGGCCACTGTCCTGTGGCTGCAACTTCGAAACCGAGCTTGTGGTCATCAACTTACATTTTACCATTCAACTAAGGATTCGTCGTCCTCCGCTGACAGCTTGCTAGACTGGCGAAGTCTCGTTGAGACTTAGAACAAGGACCTTGCATCTGCCAGCACCAACGAACTGAAGCCGGGATCACAGTCACGGTGGGCCTTCGGAGGCGCCAAATGGTTTTGTTATTAGTGGCTTATTCTAGGCACCGTTAGCTGTAGCGAGCAGATGAGCAGGCTTCACGTGAGAAGGCAGGCGGCCAGGTGGAACGCCCCGAAGGCCAAAGGATCGTGGCTGGAAACCTACAAACGTACATTGTTAAACTAGACTAGCGAGCTAGCTACCCGTACTTTTCAACAAGTTCGCCAGTGCAGCTGCAGCGTACCGTTGGACATCTTTGTTGCTTTGGTGTCTCGCCTGTGCGTTGCGGAGGCATTGGATGCAACGTGCCTCTATCATGGAGTGCTTCAAATCCACAAGAATAGACAGATTCTTGAGGGCTCCACAGGCCCTTTCCTGGACTTGGGCCACATAGATGTGCTCTCCCATGACGGAAACTATAGATCCAATCCCTCCTTCTGTGGCAATGCGATTTCTGTTCTCATCACTGGTGGCAGCCAAGTTCTTGAGGGTGCCGCATGCATTTGACGCCAACTTGATGCTTTGTGGATGAGTTTTCAGTGCCACCATAACTGCACTAATTCCGCCAGCTTCAATTATCAGCTCTTCGTTCTCATGTAAAACAGAGAGGTTCAGGAGTGCCCCGCAGCCTTCTGTCTGGACACATTCATTGGTCTGAGAGTTCATCATGGCTGGAATGAGAGCCTTGAATCCTCCTCCATCAGCAATCGAGCATATGACCTTGTTACTGCTGCCAGACAGGTTCTTCAGAACTCCGCATGCAGGTTCTAGTAGTACACCGTGATTGGAAGTGTGGCGTTGCATTCCATCCAAGACAGTTTGAATACTATACCTCCAACTCGAGCAATGGTAGATTCATTCTGATCGCTGCATGACAAATTCCAGAGGGCCAGACAACCTTGCTCCTGAACTCCGCAATTGCTCGGAAAGCTTTTCATAGCTGCTAGAATTGCTTTGATACCCCCGGATGATATCAATTGCCGATTGTTTCTGTTGATTGCCAAGTTCTTGAGCGTCCCACATCCTTGCTTCTTCCTGAAGTTGTGAGTTGTCCAAGTGATTCTCCATCGCCGTCAAAATCGCAACAATGCCTCCAACTTCGGGTATACCGGTACAGTCCCTAATGGTGTCATCATAAAATGCAAGGCTTCGAAGCGATTTTAAAGCTTGCTCCTGAACACTTTGGTCGCCAGCATTGTTCTGGATTGCTGTCAAGATGGTAACAATGCCAAATGAGCTGTGCACAGAATCAATTTTTCCGTTCGTTCCAATGACCATCATGTTCTCCAATGCTCCGTGTGCCTGCCTTACAACGTTAGCTATCATCATTCGAGTGATATTGCATAGCCTTGATGATTGCTACAATTCCATCTGACGCTGCAATGGAAACTTGCTGCTGCCTCGAACAAGCTATATTCTTCAGTGCCCCACAAGCGTTCTCAGCGACCTTGGTCTCACTCAAGTTATTCAACACAGCAGACACGATTGCAACAATGCCGCCATCTTTGGATAGTTCACATCTATGCTGGTCACTGGTTGCTGCCAGGTTCTTTATTGTCCCACAGGCATGTGCAATCAACTTGACATTGTGAGGGTGGTTTTTCATAGCGCATACAACAGCACGACCTCCACCAGCATCCATGATTCTCTCTTCATTGTCAACCGATATGGAGATATCCATGAGACTTCCATAGGCTTGCACCTGGACACTTTCGTCACTCTCGCAATTGACCATCGCAGCTACAATTGCCAACATTCCTCCGGCATCACCAATCAAAGGCCTGTTCTGGTGGCTGCGGCTTCCTGTCAGGATTTTTAGAACCCCACAGGCCGGTTCTTGCACTGATGCAACTCGTATATGGCTGTTCATGGCTCTGAGGATCAAGTCAATGCCACCGTGATCAACAATGGAATGTTCGTTGTGATCATTCACGGAGAGACTCCACAGTGCACGACATGCTGCCCCTTGAACTGCTGCATCACTAGGCAGATCCTGCATGGCCGCTAGCTAGAATTGCCTTCACTCCACCAGCCGCACCTACCGTATTGCTCGCCTGCTGTCATCACTAAATCCCGCCAAATTTTGATGCCGTCACATCCCTTCTCAAGGATGGTTTGCTCGTTTGCTCGTTTGCATGTTGTGCCATAGCATCCAAAATGATTGAAGCTCTTTCTGAAAATGCAGTGTTGATATGGATATCACTTGCTGCGCTGTCAATCGACGTCTCCACCTCCGCGAGAGAGACGATATCTTTAGGGGATTCGTTCACAGGCTCAGGCTCGGGTTCTGGATTTGACGTTTCTTCCCTTGTCGCTGTTGGATCAAGCTTCGCAGAGGCATCGCCCGTCTTGGCGGTAGCATCTGTTTCAGAGACATTTTCGCCATCTCGGGCAGATACCTGGCTCTTGTTCCCATTATTTTTTTGTATTTCAAGCTCCCATTCATGCTGACAGCGCGGGCAGTGAGGGAGAAGTTGGTTCCATTTCTTTCTAAGCATTCCCTTTTTCTCCCTCAGTTGAATATCTGGATGTCGGGGGCAAGCTCCGTCTTGCCGATACTTGACTCTCTCGCCGTTCGGAGTTATCAGGGGAGCTTCGTGCTTGTGCTTCTCAAACTTGAACAGTTCAAACTCGCCGTTCACCATCTTTTGGCTGAATCCATACTGCCGAAACTGCTGCTAATGCCTCTCCTGTCTAGCTGCCTGTACTAGCTAGCTACCCATGCCCTCGCAGTCGGGGTGTCGGATGTCAGGTGTCAGTTTTCGAACTCGACTCAGAATTGACGAACTAGCTATGGTGTCCTTCGCCTAAACTTTTATTTTTTACGCTATTTCAATCATGACTGAAACCCGACTGTCACCTTGCACTCAACGTAGCAACTTCCAAAAATAAATCGGCACAGACGCCTTGATGATCATCCAAGCCGCTCAAGGCTTCCATGGCGAAGTCTGACTGGGCTCAACTCCGTGGATGGACACCAGGAAAAGAAAAAAAACTGAACGTCTAATAACGGATTCAGACGAGATGTGCTTGAGGACTACCCACGAGCTAAGGCTCGGGTATTTCCCACAGTCAAGTCTGCTCACCGGCCACACTGGCCTCCTGAGAGGGTGCGACACCTGTTAGCTATCGTGGATGGACATCAGGAGTGAGTAGGTAGCTGTAGCTAGTAGCTAGCTAGCTAGATTGATGTCTGGGAAGGCGATCCGTATAAATACACGTTCCTGACAAGAACTACATGCAGGCGTGAGTGCAGCCAAGGTGGAGGGTACCTCTAGCTAGAGATGGTTGGTTTACCTGTTCCCCGCCACGAGCGAGATCTTCTTCACTTGTGGGTAGTAGCACCAAGTGACATGATCTGCAGCAGGAACACTTACTGCACAAACACATTTACTGCTAGCTAGTTAGAAAAACTTCTGGTCGACAATGAAACTGTAGTAATACAACTCGCCAGTGGATTGAATACTACATCCAAAAGATCTCACAAATTCAAAAACAATAGCTGTAAGGCCACACTCCTCACTGCACAAAATCAAAACAAGCAAGCACCATGAAGATTCACTACATTCTCCGGCTTCTTGCCCCTCTCCAACCTTTGGCAGCGGAAAACATTGGTTTGATCGCCTTGGCTTGTCGTCATCCAGGATCTACGAGGGAGAGTCGGTCTTAGGAAGACAGGAACCGGCGAAGACGGACGTAAGACAAGCTGGAGGGATGTTTCCCAAAGAGGAAATGCTGATGCGGTGTTGCAGTTGGTATGGAAGAAATATGGATAGTCCAGTCCAGAGCTCAAGGGTTGCAATTTACTCTATAGAGGGGAAGAAGAGTCAAAAGTGCAGCCCGTGACCGGTGTTGAATGATGAGCAGGACTGGGTTCGAAGCAAAAGCCGAATCCGCCAGGCACCTACATAGATAGATCAGCCCTCTAACGCAAAGGAAACTACAATGTGGCATTCGAACCTCATTTAGTTAGCGGCAGAGTGTGATGTAACCAGGCCAATCCATCTTCCACTCTAGCAAGGCCGCCATTGAACAGAGTGAGGCCCCTGGATTTGTCATGTCCTCAGTAGCGGGGCATCAACCCAACATGTAGGCACGACGGCCAGCAGAAGGCTCGAACGTCATACATGCTTGACTATCACTGGCTGCCGATGGATCAGAACAAATATATGAGTAGCAGTCAGTGTGATAGGCTCGCTTGTAACTAATAAGTGTGACTGGCTCGCTCTTCAATAACACACAGTCAGCATGGTTCGTTGGGGATCAAAATTTTGTATCTGGTATAGTCGTATCTGCTCTGCTGCGAATGGGATCCTTGCGGCTCGACCAAGCTGACGGTCTAGTAGTACCACTCGTACGAAGACTGCTACGATTTTGTACTTCTGTACAACCAGTGCAGGATCGCAACCCGAACTGGTTTGAACGAGCCACTTGTCAAAAAGAACCTGCAATGCACCAGAGCTGCCTACTTAATTGCACAAAAAATCGAAGTTGGAACCGTTTACTCGTGGTTGGGTTGATGAAGTCTGTTTGAGCATGCTGCGCAGCGTGTTTTAACCTCTCTTGCTAGCTACCGTACAGCTAGTCAGGGTGGTAATTTTGCGAGGTGAGTTGCTGAGATGATCGAGCATAGGTACTTCGAGAGTTGCCTGCTCGACCAAACTACCAATTATGGACGAAGCTCCAACCACTTACATCGTATGAACAACTCACTGCGAAATAAACCATACTTATGACGTTGGCAACTGTGCCCTATTACTCTGCTTGGTCAGCTCCATGCTACATCACTCTGTTGGAAGAACTACTAGTAGCTCCTAATTTGAGCGGCCACAGTTGCCCAGTTCTTTGCTACATGTATTGGAAATTCATTCTTGTCTCTTTGCCAGCTTGAATCCAAGGCCATTTCCCGTTGTACTAGTATGGTTCTGAGTACATGTACATGTACATGTACATGCACATGTACCTGTACGGTGTATTACTGTACTAGTACATTACGGGCTAGACGGTTCGTACCGTACGAGAGCTGAGAGCTGTACGAGTAAACCAATCGAATCACGGAACGGCAACCAACAACGGAATTAAGGCTCTGAGCATGATTTATGATAAAGATGAAGGATGCCAATGGATTGAGATTCGACTCAGATTTAAAGGCTGGGTACTGGGTAGTACTGGTACCTAGTACGCTATTAATAGGTAGTACATGTACTACTGCATATAAACTGAGTACCTGGTAGAGTCTACTGTCATGTACAGTAGCTACTTTTTTAAGTAGCCGAGGAGCTCAGAGGAAGTGTTTTCTGAAACACTCACGATGAAAGCATGAAAGCCTTAAAGCATTCAAAGCCTTCTATTCCTAGAGCCTAAAACTACTTAATTGTGATTGTCGGAGAATGTCGAATTCTGAACAGATGTCTGCAAATGATGTCTCTGTGATTTATGAGCTGAAACAGGTCATTATCCTTTTGAAAGGATTTTCGGGAGTGTTAATGAGTGATTGCGATTCTGGATTGATAATCGGCAACTGTGTGTACTAGCTAGTCCGGTTACCAGTTCATCACCAGCTGATTCGATTCGATTACATCATCATTCGGCAACTGTGGCGTCATACAGTTACCGCAAATAAAAGGAAGCAGCAGGTCAAGGCTCGCAAGAGCCCAAGAACAGGTCATAAAACATCCACGTAATCCTTGTTGGATCGTCTCAGAGTTCGGTGATAGACCCCCTGATGGATGGAGTAACCACCGTGCACCAAGGCCAAACTATGACTGACCATGCTAATGACAACATTGTTGACGATCTTGTAGCCAAAGGACATATCCCTCTCCAGAATAGTGGTGGTGTTCTGACAGAAGAAACTGGTTCCGGTACGGGAGAGAAGACTTTGGCAGCCGGAAATGCTAGCAATTGCAAGTCTGTTGAGAACCTGGACAGTACTGGTACAGGTGCAAAGACACTGAAGTCGAGCCTTGCCATCGGAGTTGAAATCCCACCGCAACAAGCTCCCGAAGAACCCAATGGCATTCCTGGGGCATACGCTCTGTGCGGGGTAATGGATGAGCGCACCGAGCAAGCAACAGACCTTGACCTCAGTCATGGTGTAGTGCCCACAGTGCCCAACAACACCGAAATCCCGAGTGCGACCCCAGTGGAGGATCTGGAGAGGGCTGAGGAGGTTGTTGGACATAGAATTATGCCAACCAGGGGTTCTGACAAAATAGAATTTCCATGGGCATTGGGGTGCTGGCTGGTCCTTGTTGTGATTGCAATTGTTATCCCAACTGTCCTATTGCGAGAACCTGCAGATGGCAGTGTTGCCCAAGCAACGTCATCATCGCCATCTTTTGCCCCCTCACCATCTCCAACAATTGATTTTATCCTTGACCTACCAATGCACACAAAAGAAGCCATACTGGATGATCCTGAATCGTCACAGTTCCAGGCCTACCAGTGGCTTCAGAATGATCCAAACAGGAAGAACTACACCCAAGGCAAGCTGATGCAACGTTTTGTCCTTGCCACATTATATTATGCTACAAACGGGAGGATGGAGGTGGGGGGGAGGGGGGCATAGTGATCCACCCGGGGCCAGGGGGGGGGGAGGTGGGGGGAGGGAGGGGGGGGGGGGAGGGGGTGGGGGAGTGTGGGGGTGAGTGGGGGGGGGGGGGGAGGGGGGGGGTGGGGGTGGGGGGGGGGGGGGGCTAAAAGGGATGACTGGGGGTGATTGTGATTTATCAGATGAATGCCTCGATTGGTTCAACCAGGCCTCTCTTCCGCCGCTGCACTTTGATGCGTGCACAACTGAAGGAGAATTCAATGCATTGGCACTTTTTCACAACTCCATGAGGGGTTCTCTCCCAAGGGAACTTGGCTTTTTGACTAGTTTGCAAGCTCTCACTTTGGGTGATAGTTTCTTGAGTGGGACCATTCCAATTGAGATATGGAAGCTCCCGATTCTTTGGGTATTTGCTGTCAATAACAATCTGTTAACGGGGACTCTGCCACCAGAAGGCATGGTTGCAGCACAGAGCAGCAAAACTTATCTGGATTTGGCTGGCAACCAACTGAGTGGCAGGATTCCGTCGGAACTCGGTCTCTCTCGGCACCCTGTCGCATTTTAGTGTTGGAGACAACCAAATGACAGGGACACTTCCTGAAGAATTGGGCAACATTGCTACTTTGGAGTATCTGAGTTTAGCTTGGAATGGTTTCACAGGTACTATCCAAGGTGAGCCCCTTCCAGGGCTGGGGCAATCTAACATATCCTCTTCTTGAGAGACCAACATCTGTTCACAGGACTTCCCTACGGAAAGTGCGTGGTTGCTCACAGCCTGGTAGAACTACTACATTTTACAACAACTCTTTCTCTGGCAGCCTCCCATCTGAGCTTGGCAATCTTGGTGGAAACCGCTGCGGAGGATTGTTGTGGCCAACAACAAGTTCAGTGGCAGCATTTCTGATAGCATATGGCATCTCTCTGGTCTGGAGGAGCTTCAGGTAGATCTGAACTTTTTCACAGGAACTCTTCCCTCGGATTGTGGTGTCACCCTTGGTAGCACCATGAGAATGTTTGATTTGGCTCTGAACCAATTTCATGGAACCATCCCTTCTTCCATTGGGCTGTGGACTGACTTGCGCAGGCTAGATTTGCTTGGCAATGATTTTGAAGGGAGCCTGCCCTCAGAGGTATGGCAAATGTTATCACTCAAAAAGTTGCTGGTGGGGAACAATTTGAAGGGGTCTATCCCACCCAATGTCAGCTTTCCAGACATGGAAGTTCTTGATTTGTCTGGTTCAATGATCAGTGGCACTATCCCCAACCAAATCTGCAACAGCGGCCAATTGGATGTACTTGATTATTCATGCTCAGAGATTCTCTGTGGTGTGATTGTCCTCCGTGAGACGCATGAGGGGAACTTAATTCTTAGGGAACCAGTGAGGGCTTCCAACCCAAAACCAACGCCAATCTTTTAAAGCCAAAGGTGCCATCGCCTTCTTCTGTTTTGTTCTTGAGGCCACTGTCATGTTGCTGTGTCTTCGAAACCGAGCTTGTGGTCTTCAACTTACATTATACCAGTAAACTAAGGATTCGTCCTCTGCACCATCTGATCGTAATGGAGGACGAAGCTCCAAGCACTTTATGAACTCACTTCGAAGCAAACAAACGATACTTCAGAAATCCAAAGCTCACAAATTGACAGAAGCCACAACAGATACAGACTCGGAAGTGCCCAAACAGAAGGAAATAGAAACCCCTCCGTTCACCATGAAGATCGGATCCTTTGTCATGATGATCCTTTCGGGGGTCGTGCTCCAGCTAAATGCTGTGGAGGGAACTATCCTAAAGA